GTCGACCTCCATGTCGATTAAAGAAATATTGGGTCGGGGGGGGATCCAACCGACGACCCGTTAATTATCTGCCGAAATTGCTACCATTACACCAACGAGCCCGTCAATTATTTCTGCATATTTTTGGTATATAAATTTGAAATAGGTTCGTAACATAGTTGATACTTTCCTTCACTTTATAGACGTCCAAAAAGTTTTATACGTTAAGAACAAAACCTTTTTCCAAGGCTAAGGCTTTAAACGAAAACTAAATCATTGAAACAGACAAAATCTGTTTCTGCCCTGAATTACACGTGCAAAAAAGAGATTTTATTCTTTCATACTATATACAGATATGTCCAAATAACTCCAAAATTACCTGAATAAGTAGTACGTTTGTTTTCTATGGTTTCTCGTTTCATTTTCTTGATGTACACGTCCAAAAAGTGACGTTCGTGTGAATCGTCATAGGTGTCAATTGCATCTTTAATGATCTCCTAAAATTCTTACATTAATAAATTGAATATATTTCAAAATATATATAATTACTAATTACTAGCATCAAGACAATGACAAATTAGAAAACCATTCGAGTATTGATACATTATTATAAGATATACAAGGGTGAGAGGGTAATAAATTGTTAAACTATTTTAGAATATTAAAAATTGAGGAAATGGGTTGTAACCTACGAGCAATAGAGTAGGGTTTCATTATCTTATATAATATTTCTTAAAAGACCATTTTCGACGGTTCTATCGTAATTCGTACCTTATAAAAATCGGATAAGGCCTTCGTTCCCTATGTCAAGTCATTGAATCCAGTTAGTTTGGGAAAAATGTTTCTCAACCAAGGGGTGATCAACAGAGCTGCGCCAATATCATTTGTTGACCTCTGGAATTTCATTGTCTCCTCTCCTAGTGTCCAAAGAATTAGGCAAGGTGTTCCTGATAAAAATGTGGCATATACACGAGGCTACCGTTTATGATTTTCTAAAGAAAAAAAAAGCAACAAAATTGTAATTATTAATAATGTACATAATAATTTCAGTAACTTCAACATTTCGATCATAATTACACATTTAGTTATTTACATAGAAATGACGTATTGTAGTACACACTTAGAGATTGTCGCAGACAATTTTTGTATGTTTGCAGCCGAGGTAATTTAAATTCTAGTAATAATTCTTAGAACATTACCAAAGATTATGATCCTTATCCTAACAGATCGACCAGCATTGTTTAAGTCTTGCTGTTGTCTATTGCTTCAGACAAGGCGATTAAGTAAATACGTCAATTTAATTTATAGTTATTGTAAAGAGATAGCGATCACCACTGTATTTGTAAATAATTCTCAATTTACTTTTCCGTAATGGCATAACCAATTACGATATATAGGGTGTGGCTAAATGTTACGGGACCCTTTTACTTTTGTACAACAAATATTTCTTAAACTGAAGAACTTTGCATGTACACATATCTTAAATAAAGCAGTATATTTTTAAGCAAATAATTACGCAAAACACATTTTTCTACATGCAAAGGTTGCCTGGAAGAAATCGCCATAGGCCATAAGGCCGCCTTTGCACAAACATTTTTTTTGTATATATAATTTCAATGTAAGTGTCTATGTTTGTACAATAAAGAGTTTTACTACCATTGCCTGTAGTTTACGCGAGTAGTACATATTAAAAAAAAACACTTTTAACAGTTTAAAACGCGTAATATATTAGTAAACCTATTTATCATTGTTTTTTACAACGGTCCGACGCGGACGCTTCCCTGTGAACACATCTGAACTAAGCATCGGGCCGTGAATACAAATTCACGGCCCGATGCTTAGTTCAAACAGCTACTCAGCGAGTTCTTTTGTGTATCCAAATTTGTTTTTTTCAAATCTTCTCCTTATCTTAAAGAAGTTAAGCTCCACATTTCCAGCTGTTCCTTCACTCCTATTAGTCACAGCGCGATGTTTCATACCCTTATAGCCTTTCTCAATAAATGTTCTAACCAAAAATAAAATTGTTCAATTCGAACCAGTATTTTTTTTAGATTAGCTTCTTCAAACAAACAAACTCCTCAGCTTTCTATATTAGTATAGATTAATATTTTACACATTTTATACAGTTTAAAGTGTGATTTACATAGAAATGGGATTACGTAATTTTATTTTCTCTGTGTTCCTCAAATATTCTCTATTAATGATGAGACGATAGAAATGTACAATAAATTATATTAATATATACTACGCGTTCAAAAAAAAATTAATCTTTGTATTCATTACTTTGATTGCGAGTTGAAAAGGCAGAGGTGAGGAAGATAGTGAAAATCCCGCGACTGAGAACACGTGCTCCAGTGTGTTGTTGCCCTGTGATTTTCTTAACAAATTTAACTATTTATACTTCGCTTTTTTAGTGTTTTATTTAAATGTTTGATCGATCTTATTAGATTGGGTGCGCGCTTGTTTGCTTATTAATCTCTCTCTCTCTGAAAAACATTATTTTGATCAGTTATAAATTAAAACATCACAGTTCATATATTGAATTTATCTTCTTTGTTTTTCGCGTATAACTTCATTTATTAAATCACTACTATAATATCAAAATACGTATTATTCAATCACACGAAGTAAATAACTTAGAAAAAATATAGTGAAATTAAAAAGTCTATTTATCAGTAGTCATATACTGGTTAAATAATTTTAAAAGTTTTTTCCCGAGAATCGAATCTAGAAGGTTGCACACACAGTTAGCCACGGAGACTAGTAAATACATATTAGCAATTGCCGGCTTATAAAAGTTTGCTATCATTAAAATACTTAAGTATCTGTCAAAGTATTAGAAATAAATAAAAAACTAATCTCTTATATAGGTATCCAAAAATATTCTAAAATACTGTCGGAAAAAATACATATATCTGCAGGCCAGAATGCGTATACTGTATGTCACTTGAAGAGACTGATAAGGACGCTGAACGTAGTTATTGCCTTATCACTTGCTTAGGGACTGTTAAATTTTCCTAATAGACTTCTATTTAGAAAAAATATTAAAAACATCACTTAACCTGGTTTCAAATTACATGTCTCTTATATAACTACTTTATTTTGGATCATTTTATCGCGGAACTTAATCCGAATTTATAACAGTCATTAATTGAACATTTTAAAAACCTTTACAATACATTTGCCATAATAGACATTAGCGAATGTCAACATCTCATTCTGTCTAATTTAATGTAAAAATAAGAAACAATATAGTTAATTATGACAAGAAATGCAATATATATATATAGTTTCTTCAGCAGAAAAGCAATTTTGCTCATTCTAAAATTAAGGTGTTTATGTAATACAAAAATATTACCAAGCCTCTTCCAGGAACATCTTGCTCTAGCTAAGATATTGTCCACGCGGCCGTCAAATTAAAAAATCGAATAAACCAATCATACTGGTAGCGGATAACAATGTATCGGTTACAACACAATTTCCAAGTACTCGGGCGTGGCGGTTCAGTCGCTTTTATATGCTACGAAATTATTCAAAACGTCATCATAGGTGGAGCCAAAGATGTCAAAGATTCTGGTTCATCTCTGATGTATCAGAAACTGGTCAAGGGCGAGTCGCGCTTGAAGGGTTCAGTTCATTTTTCTTTATTTATTAATAAGTAAGTTTTCGAAATACATACGGCCAACAATATCGTTTAAGGTAGAGGCCCTTTCAAATATTTATTTTCAAGGTATTTGTCAAAGCAAAAACTGAAAAACATATCTGATAAATTATATTGGGAACCTTTAAAACGAAGCAAACAAAGTGACAAACAAGATTGTATTTATATCGTACACTCAAAAACCAATATAGAATATCAAAGGCATTTTTCTACCGTTGAAACGTTGTTCTCATATACATTATAATACAGATTAACAAAGAAAAAATATAAAAATCGTTTAAAAAATGTCAAAAATTAAAGCATCAGGTTAAATATGACTTTACTAAATCCTTTCTACAAGTCGTTATTGAATACCTAGAATTAGGTTGTTGATGGGATTTGCTAGCATTCTAGCAATAAAATATTTATTATATTAATTTCTTTTTTCAGCAGGTATTATTAATACTAAATAATTTTGTTAGTACATATGAACTGCTATGTATCGCGTTATCATAGTCGTTTTAGAGCAGTTTGAAGCAGCGCTTTCAAGATAATATTAGTTCAGTGACAACTCGTCTGGAGGATTTTAACCAATAATTAAAGTGTTACAAACGAATGTTCAATATATCTTGATATTGTCAAAAATAAATATATCAATTATTTTGTTTAATGAAAAAAGCACAAGCTCAATTTTTTGGTGTATTTAAATAAAACCAAGACATAATTAGATTTTTCTATTGACTACGCCATAACCTTATAATCCACATAATATTTATATTTTTAAAACTAAATAGCTACCACAGTTATGTCAGATAATGTAAACCTATTATTTTAATTCAGTCTAAGGCACAATATAACACATTGGAACTAACGCTGCATAAATATAACATGAGTATATATGTACATAACCTTTTCTTTGGTTCATTCAGCCATTCACACATCTATTCCTATCTACCCTCACTACTACTACTAGTCTACTAGCTGTAAATATGAGCTTAAACACATAATAATTTACAAAACACCTACAGTACCAAATTTCAACCTACATATTATATACTAGTGTACGTGTAATAATTTCAAAATATTGATAGTTCTACACGAGACCTAATTAACGTCCATAATTTAAAGAGAGCTTAGAATATATTTAACATAAGCACCTGTGCATGTTTAAATCCTTATTTTGATTAAGGACTGTTATTCATCAATTTAAACATTATTACGTTATCAAAATTTGATCTAAGCATGTTTTACATCAAATGTACTTTGTCACTTATTACCCAAAAGTTATAATTTTTAACATACTTTCATGTCCTACTTTTATCAACATTAGAGGTTTCGTGTTATTATCTGTAACTGAAGGTCTCGAAAGACAAACTTTCGTTTAACATCTCGGTGTAACACGGACCCAAAATTCGGGTACAGTTGTGATAATGCCTTGTATTCTCGTTGAACGTTCCTTTAAGGGCTTCCCATCAGCAGTTGATACGGAAAACGCTTGCATGAACATAGCAAGGGCTAAGAACATTCCTTGACGCGCGAAGGTTTCTCCAGCACAAAGTCTTCGACCTGGGAAAATTACAGATTATCAGAATATCCACATTAAGTTTAGTTAAGATACAATATGTCGGGACGGTGTACATCTATACTAATATTATAAAGCTGAAGAGTTTGAAATGAAAAGATAATTTTGTGTAGATTCGACATTTATCGAGGAAGGCTTTAGGCTAGAAAACATCACGCTGCGACTAAAGAGACAGTGGAAATGTGGAAAAAAGGGGGAGAATTATTCATCATTGTGAGTTTCCCTTGCGTGTGCTGGGCAAAAAAGCAAGATACCCAAGAAATTTGTACGAGATAATTATTCCCTTTGAACGATCCTTGATAATATATCAAGTTTAACTTTCAACATAGGTAACAGTTATAATGTATAAAGCTGAGAAGGTTGTTTGCAAAAATAAATAATATGGTGGCAAAACTAACTAGTCCAAGCCGAAGTCGCGGGCTCAGCTATTTAATAATACAATCTATTTAGCGCTTAACGCGAATAAAAATATTTCTTACCAGCACCAAAAGGCAATGACTTATCCAGGCTCACTTGCAATTTGCCATCCACTATGAACCTCTCAGGTCTGAAGTTTTGTGGGTCTCCCCAAATTTTTTCATCCAAGTTTATACTCATTAGGTTGACTGATACAGACGTATTCTGAAATGAAATTAACTTAATAAAAATTTCGAGTAAGTAATATTTTGTTGTTTTCACGAGTGTTATTTAATAGTTTCTGAATACTAATCTTAAATACTCCTTTTTAGACCCGAGACGGCGTTTGTAGCTAAATGATTAAACGTATTGCTTTGCATTGCGTTTAGCGCGAGGGATGCTAGGTTCGAATCCCGAGAAAATAAAAAAATATTTCAGGCGGTTCAGTCCTACAAAATGTATTGAAATATTGATAATTTCATTAGTTAAATATTGTCATTATTTCTAGGTGAAGTTAAATCTCTATAAATCAAATTATTTCTTAAACGGTTTAAAACGCGATATACATTAGTTAAACTTATTTGAATTTTTTTTATTAAAAATTAATTTAACTACGGCCTGACGTTTCGGTCTTCCCGTGAAACATCTGAAACGTCGGGCCGTATTTAAAATAATTTTTAAATATGTTTAACAAATATATATCGCGTTTTAAACCGTTAAAGTGTTTTTAGAAATTAAAATTTTATAAATCATAATAAGATTACATCTTAATTTATTATTTCTTAAATGTGAGTCTATGCTGTTTACCTCTGGTATAGAATAGCCGTCTAGTTTGGTGTCTTTTAATGATCTATGAGCTACACCCAGGGGTACTAGAGTATCATACCGCATGATCTCACGCAAACAAGCTTCTGTGTATGGTAACCTGGAAGTAATAAAAAATTATTATATATAAATGATACAATAAAATATAAATGCTAGAGCGAAAACTGCTACACGTATATTGTGCATGTGCTTATTGTAAATTTAAGTAAATACGGTCAAATCAAATGTACGAATTGTAGTATAGTAGAACGTTCGCACTATTATAATATTTGAAGGGAAACATGTTAATTGTATAGAAGTAGGTTTAAACCGTTAAATTTAACCGCGTTTCGGTTTCAGTTTGTGGATTTCCGGATATCCAAACAAAATAGGTCAACAGCATATTTTGTTTAGATGTCATATGGCTAGTGTATTTCACCTTCAATCAAGAAGATGCTTGTGCGTCCTCTTCTATCACACAGGTGTAGTAAAGGATGTAATATGCATACGATAACGGACGTGAGGTCGGGAGTTTGATCCCTGGCCGTGCACAAAATTTTAATAACTGTTACTGTGCTCTAAGACCATTGTCGTAATAACAGTGTCACACAATGATTGGTCCCACATTTGTCATTGGAAAAGACATATTTTTCCAACGTGGTAGATAAAAGACAACAACAACACTGGATTCTACTATGAGGGTCTCTTGTATATCTGTGTGTAGTGGAAAACATGTGCGTTTGTCTGTGTGTGTAGTTTATACATAGCCGCCACATACTTGTCTCTATCATCGAGTGACGGCAGACGGTCCCGTCCAACAACTCTGTCGATTTCTTCGTGTATCTTGTCCTGTACTTCGGGGTGAAGAAGCATTGTCTCGATCAGCATCGTTAGCACCTGTTCTGTACCACTTGCAGCCGGGAATGTGTAGTCGGTGCATACCATAAGCAATTGGTCCGCTGTAAAGAAAAAATCGTTTAATGCATGAGGTTACTATATGGAAGGTCAAATAAGACACGCATATAACAACTTCTTCATATAACATCTTATTTAGATATTTATCATCTCCTTAATAAAACACTTTAACAGTTTAAAACGCAGAATATATTTGTTAAACTTATTTTAAAAACAGCCCCACGTTTCGGATGTTTGCAGCAGCCGAGGTCACGGGGTACCTAATTATTTTATATAATTTTAACTAATATATTTCGCGTTTTAGATCGTTAAAGTGTTTTTTTTAATGTGTACTACTCGCGTAAACTACAGATAGTATTTAACTATATCTTATCTTATATGGCGCTGCCAAAATAATTTTTGCTTTGAACAATCAGAAATATTTAGACTGAAACACGTAAAGAGTTCGATTTACTGATCAGTTCTTGTACAAGCAGATTCTTGTTGATCAGACTTCAGTGCCCTGCCAGATCGAAACAACTTGCAGTTTTCCTGGGATTTGAACTCAAGACTTCTTGCTCTTAACACAATGCTAGGCAAACGTTTAACTATTTGGCTACAGAGGCTCCACATAAGCTTTAAGACTATTTCTAAAATATTTCCTCACCGGAGTATGTAGATCGTTTTTTGTCGTTGATTTCTTGTTTCATTTGCTTTATGTAGATATCCAAAAAGTGACGTTCGTGATTGTCGTCGTATGTAGCAATAGCGTCTTCTATTATGTCCTGAAAAGGAAAGAAAATAGTGATTAACATTGTTTATTTACTAATGACAGAATAAACCTAAATTTACAATGTTATATATAATTAATAAGTAATAAAACTTATCACGTTCTTAGCAATCGTATTGTACAAAGATGCATAACATTAGCACTAATAATTTTGTTTAGTCGAACAAAGCTGTGCGTCGTTAAGAAAGAATGTACAAATTGCAAAAAGTTTACCTTGTAGAAGTCGATGACAGCATTAGTCCCATCGGTCAAGTCCTTATAACCACTAAATTTCGGTAAAATGTTCTTTAGCCAAGGCGTGATTACGAGTGCACCACCAAGGTCGTTTGACGCCCTCTGGAACTTCACGGCATTTCTACCAAGATTCCAAATCATTGGGTACTTCTCCCGGGGGAAAGTTTGTCTTACAAAGACGTGGACCATTCCGTTTATAAAGGGTACATCGAAGAAGTGTGGTAAATATATGAGATTTCCGTTGACAATTTTCTGGAATATGTGAATATTGATTAAAAATCTATTTATATCGTAAACAATGACGTCATGAACTCAAGCCAGCATCCACAGCAATCCGTGCTGTATGTAGTCAAGTGAATGTTATAAAAATCATAGTGGAAGGAAAGCGAACTGTACGATAAGTTATACATACTTAAATGTAAAACGGAAAATGTGCAATTATAATTATTTCATACACGTTTTTTGGATATCTTGAACCATTTTTTAATTTTAGCTTATCACTGTTTTAAAGATAGCAATTGTATGACCTATTTCGTTTTAACTGTTCGATATTTAGATAGTATAGTAGTAGTTGAAAACTTTGCCTCCTTACCTTTTCCTCGTCATTCCTAGTTCCATTCTTGACCATATCAATCATTTCTGATAGATCTTGTTTCATTGCATCTTCCAAATTTTCGCATCGACGGCCAAAACCAGCGTCTCGCATAAAGCGCTGGGAGAACCTTCTCTGGGTGTGCCAGAAATACCCATCAGTGAAGAAAATGCCTGACAAATTATAAAACAGATTGTAGTGTATCTAAGCAAAGTTGATTTCTCCAAGGACGATGTACATGTATCAATATTTCTGAAATAAGTATCTTTCACATTCAACTTAATTACTTGGAACTTTAAAGTTTATGAAACACACATGAAAAGGGGTAAACGTTAGATTTAAGATTGGACGTTCAGCCTATTATTTTCAATAAACAAAGTTGTTAAGTATAAATCGCATCAGTAGACGATTATCACTATTCTTCTTTTCTTCTTCCACTAAATCTATAGAAGTAAAAATGTAGAACTAGTAGAAGAAGATAGATTAAAACTAGACATTTATTTCTATTAGCACACTTCCATTATAATATTTATAAAAATCTTATAATCACCCAATCTCTTCCAACAGTATCTAGCTCTGCCTAGGATTGTGTCCATACGTCCGTCAAACTCTTCCCTATTCAAAACTTCTTTAATTAATTCCTGATCATTAATTATCACTTGAGGACAAGGACCTAGATACAGTCCAACAATTTTTGAGTTGTATTCCTTGGACAGTCTGATCGCAGCACGGCCAAGGTCGTTCAAGGCTTTGGACAATATAATCCAATACCCTCCATATACAGGTAGCTTGGGTGGTCCTACAAAATTATTAAATTATTACAATTCTCCACACTCATGATTTTTTTAAATTAAAGTTTTGTGTTCGAACTTCCTGTAATTCTTCTTCCTTTATTTTCGGCTACATAAAAATTTATGTTTTTTTACCATTTATATCAAAACATTTAACAGATTTTGCCAGGAATAAAAAAAACAACGCCACGCTTGGTACCACGCTATAAACAAAACAAAAAAAAATGCAACAAAAGCTTTAAAAAAATCTAATGCTTATATAGTACGAAAACGAAGATCTTTCAGTTGTTTACTTACATTCAGTGACTCTTTGTTTAAAAGAAATATAAAATCGGAATAACATTGAATTGTTTCTAAATGTTTTCATTATTCCAGACTATTGTTGCATTTGTATTTGTATTAATAAAAAAATGAAACCCCTATCCCTACCCCTATGTCTAAGGGAGTTTCCCTAAGAGACTACGGTAGATGAAAATACGCGTTCACACTTATGGTATATATAAGAAAGTTGAAAATGCTTATATACAATAACTAGTAAAGAAAATAAATGTAATATAGTCACCTGGTGGGAAATTCTCGTGCCGCTTATAAGCTTCATTGATTAGGTGTTTTATAAAGACTCCCAAAACAGCAATCGCGACCAGAAAGCCAATCATTTTTGTGATGTATCAGCACCAATGTCTGCCGTCAAATAATCCAATTTCATTATCCGCGCGTTCATTTTATACTTTGCTGTGGTACACTGGTACACGGAGTTTCATAGCGTAATACGTTGATAACATTTCTTGGCCAAGCGCGAGTGGCCAATGGCTCTTGTAGTGCTTAAACTACATATTAAGAAAAACATAAATACATTGAAAAATTTGAAGGTTTGTAAAATTTAAGCATAGAATGACTGAATAGTGTCTGTAGTTTAGCGAGTAGCACACATTAAAATACAACACTTTCACGATGTAATACGCGATATTTATTAGTTAAACTTATTTGAACATTATTTTATTTTAAATACGGCACAACGTTTCGGATGCTTTACTACAGCCGTGGTCATGGTGAGACTCCCCGTTATTATATATATCGCGTTTTCAACCGTTAAAGTGTTTTATTTAAATAAAAATATTACTTTTACTCCGATAATATGTAGTGCATTTTGCATTTGTGACAAGGCATCTCACCTTGGTTTTAAATCGTGGCGAAAAAGCTAACCTAACCTAGCGAATCTTGCAAAACTTACTTCTATGCCCGTATTACGCATCGCCTTTCTTTAGGCAAGATATGCTGTGTGCTCGACCTAAACTATTATGTTTTCAGGCAGTGACGAAACTATAGGGTGTCAAGTCGGCAAAATGCCACGGGCCCCCAGCCCGAAGGGGCCTCCGGTCAGAGGAAATCTCAATTGTTGGTTCAGTTTCTTTATATATTGGGGAAGTGGGAGGGCCCATTCGGTGAATTTGCCACGGGCCTCGAACGGTATTGTTACGCCACTGTTTTCAGGATCAACCCATCTTGGTTTAACACATTGGACCTCTCGCGTTCAATATATTTTGGGGCAACGTCTGGCCATTAAATAACGAAGACGGTCAGTGAATATAAGCCCGATCATATTAGTAGTACCAACTGCGCTATATCCTTAACAAGTACTTTCAAGGCACGGAGACCTTTTCATATCGTTTCCCTTATTATATTTGTTATACAGCTCAAATGGATCCCGATGGTACATTGAGTACCATTCTACATGTATAAAGGTGTGGAATCATTATTATAACATTTAAAGTTTTGAATCATAACTGTATATACCATTGTTATCTTAAGCTTTATAAGCTTCAACATTAAAGCTGAAGGTAACAACGTATAACTATGTTTTACATCTCATTTTTCGCCCGGCGCATGGGGCTCGTTACCAAAATTCAAAAGTTTCCCATCGTCTTCTACATCATAAAAGTTAGAGAAAATAGTACGCAATGAACGACTATAATAAAGTTACAAGAAAAGGTTCCACTACAATGATGCTTCTCTATGATCTTTTATATGTAAAATAATATTTAGGCTTCAGAAATTGAAACTGGACGATAGTACGTTGTAGACTTACTTAGCAATCTAACACTGGAGAACTGCTTAATACTGTTTTTATAGGATAAATAATAAGATATATTGTAGGGTATGAAAGTATATGGTATTAAGTAATAAGAGTCTCATCTTATTACCTAAAAGGGGTTGACGGTTGCGCAGTGTCATTTGTCACCACCAAGGCACTTCCGGCATTGTTCATGTAGATAAGCCCGTGGCTCACTTGAAGGAAGAAAGTTGCCTTCGCATCCTTAGACTTATTTTTCGAAAAAGGAAGTAGGAGATAGATTTTGTGTTCACGGACTGACCTTCGACAAACATAAATAAAAAAAGCTAGTGCCTTAATATTGCATGGATTGGCAAAATTCAAACAAAGGATATCCTAGCGACAGCTATTAAAAAAACCCAAATGAGCTCCAGCGATATATCTGAAGAGAATGCAAACCGTGTTGAACTAGTGGTACACTCGTTTAACATTCGTGCGGTTGTGAGTTCAAATTATAGTTACTAAGTACTAAAATATTCTTTGTACATACGTAAGGTGCTGTAAAATTTGACACAGGGAACACAAATGTCATGTCCTAGGACGAAAAGTTCGGACATATGCCATCTAACAACACAATTAGCTAGATTATCCTTTTAGGTCTTCAGGACTTCGTAAATTAAGAGTTGAATTTCCTTTTTTCTTTGTTAAATGCCATAAACATGTAGTTTTTTTATCTCATAGATACGAGACGGAACCCTAAAATTATTGTAAATATTTTATCCTGTTACTATTGCAAAACGATTCATCGTGACATAACAGTATTTATAATAAACATTTCTGATTTTAAGCGAAAAACGGACAAAATAAATGTTTAAGAATTTATTAAACATTATCTCAATATGGCGTTATTTACTTATATTGGGTTTTTAACAATTACAAACATACTGTCTATAGTTTACGCGAGTAGTACACATTTAAATAAAACAATTTAACGGGTTAAAACGCGATATATTAGTTAAACTTATTTGAAAATGATTTTTAACTTCGGCCCGACCTTTCGGATGCTTTGCGGCAGTCGTGGTCACGGGGAGAGTTTTAAACCGTTAAAGTGTTTTATTTAAATTACAAACAAACTTGCTGCTCCAGGAAACCGACAAAGGGTAAACAATAACCAGAGGGTAAGGGTTACATTTTTTATTTATAATTATCAAAGAAAAATTCGGTTAATTATTAACACTATTTTATATACAAAAGTGTTGCGAGTTGCGTACAATTTTTGTACTTATGTGTATTCTCAATGTACATTGAATTAAAAATAATATTACGGAAGAGAGCAATTATTTACATAACCCAATACTTGGTACATTTTAAAACTAGGTATTTTGCCTTGTTAATTTTTTAAGTATATCAAATATATGAAAAAAAAGACTAGAAGCCACAGCCTTTGTTTAGTTATTGTCTCCAATTATAAAGTTATTTTAGTACAGGTTGAATACACGGGGCATAGGGCGACAAGCCGGGGACTTATGTGCCCCGTTCAACCGAAACAATGTATTGTTTCCCCGGGAACTCAGGACTTTTCGCGTTTAAATTAAACACGTTTGACCAATTATCAATCCAGTGCAGCTCTGTTTATTAATCAAATAGTATCTAATTATCCTTGTATAGATCTAACAATATTACATGCATATCCAGCAAAGCATATATTTATATCTACAACGTTAGAAGTCGAAACAATTAAATTATTATTTCTTAGATAATCTATTATGATATAACATTACATTCTGATAATATAATGAAATTACATTTACCTAATATTAGGTAGATACTAATAATAGGTACCTAATTAATATGAGATGACGTTATTTTAATTCTACTAAAATCTTTATTACATAAAAAAGCTTTGACATTTAGATTCGACATTTTGAAATTTTGTAAATATTATATCGTTTACTTTTCTTCTCTTTTTAAATGCACTCTAGCTATAGTAATTGAAGGGCTAATGGTAGCAATGTATAACTAATGATCTATTGGTCGTGGGTTCGACCCCACAAGGTCTAATGCACTGCTACTGTTAGAATTTCGAAAAGATCTGGCGCGTCAAGTTTGCTTGCAGAATAGATTGAAGATGTTTTTATTAACAAAATCACTTTCCTTAATGAAAAACAAGTTCTTCTCTCCTCTATTTATAAAAAGCCACGACTATCGTTTGAATTGGGATCTAAGTACGCTAGGAATACCCTTATTAATTGATTGTTTTTGTATTTTGTTTAAACTTAAAATAACAGAGAGTTTGATTGTATGTAGTCTGTTGTATGCTATATCATAAAATATATAGCCGTAATCGACATATGACGAAACCCCAAACTATCTATTTGACTTTTTTATATACTATATGCAATTTCTAGGCATCATCGTGACATAGCAATACTATAACACTTAATTGTCTCTAAGCAAATACATTTTACATAACAGATAAGAATGATGTCTGGGTTGAGCAGCTGTTGCACGTTGTGAGGCTAGAAGTTCGATTCTTATGAACTAAAAGATATATATTTGCATACACTCTTATACGTTCCTCTTTTAAGTCATAGGATGGTAGGTAAAATATCCTAGTTACACAAAATCTTTACAAAATGCATCGTCAAACAATTTGGGCTTGGACATTCGTTACAGCCACAGGCTAAAACCGAAATCCGTTAATCTAGGCCCAAGTCTCAGCAGTGGGAAATTTAATGGGGGAAAGATTGTAAATTTACAGTTTTAATAGCCTGTTCTTTGTTTTTCTTGCGTTGTGATTAACCACGGAATGGAACATACATATTAAACACACTTTGACGGTCCCTCCGTGACCACGATTAGGCACTCTAAAGCCACCGAAACGCGGGGCAATGGAGTAATATATAATATAATAGCGCGCGCGTAAATAGAATATATTTAAATAATATATTTCGCGTTTTAAGCAGTTTAAAGTATTTTATTAAAGACTTATTATAAACTAGTTGTTGCGGCGACTTTGTCCGTGGAGAATAGATATTTTGGGCATCAAATTTTGTTTTTGCAAACCTCCTTTATAAATTTTAGATGTTACCCACGACGTCGGCCGCGTCCCGTCCCGTCATTTTTACGAGTTAATCTTAACAGAGAGACATATACTGTGGCTGACATTTCTTTGGATCATTTAATGAAGAATCTTGAACCTTTACTGCAGCGCACGCAATGGAAACCCACAAAGGTGAATAATTATCCCCTTTTTTCACATTTCCCACTGCTTTTTCACCCCTATTGTTCGCAGCGTGATGTTCTATAGCCCAAGCCTTTCTCGATAAATAGTCCAAGAAACACAAAAATAATTCTTCAATTCGATCCAGTAGTTCATGACATTAGCGCGTTTAAACAAACAAACTCGTCAGCTTTAAAATATCATGTTGCCTAGCGCGAGAAATCCTAGATTCGAATCGTGGCAGTGCACAGAAATGTGTTCGCCCTATGTCCCACAAGAAGAAACGGGATATCACACTATTATGAATATAATAAAAACAGTAGTAAACAATTTACAGATAACGCATTTTTTTCCAGAAAAACATGTTTAATTTTAGTATAAAACGATGTAATATATTTTTTGTTCATCGCCATGACTTGCATAAATGTTATCACAGATATTTAAATAAATCATAATATGCTTTGTCAAGCGTTTCTATTTGAGGAATAGTGTTCAGTTTTACAATAATTTTGATACACTTTTCCATGCGACTATATCTGTTCAGCTTCGAGTTACGACAACTGGTTCTACTTCTCTGGGATTCCTTCGGTTCAAATTTCTTTCAAGTTCGGTTACAGAGGAGTTTATCGCGTGTACATTCAAACACACAACTCAAAATAGAATTTTATAGTATTCAATTAATAAACAAGAGTATTAAATTTATTCTTACACCTACTTAACTTTTTCTAAGAGAACGTAATCATCTAGGTTTATATTTTACTTCTATAGATTCAGATTATTAAATATATTAGGCCCTTAAACGTATAAATCATGCGAAGAGAAACTTTACTTATTTTTATTATCTTTAAGTGATAAGCTTTGACTTTTGCAAGGTTTTGTTTATTATGATTTTAAGATGTCACCATGACTGACAAAATTATTATGTATAATTGATAATATTATTAAGTGCATAACAATGCATAGTATGACATGGCATTTTGTATGTTTATTCAATACTCCTAAATTGCTTTGATGTGAGGCATATTGTTTTTCTTCTGAATGTTGACTGAGTGCTTTGTCGTAGATTGGTATGTGTTTGGATGCGACTGAGTCCCTCCCCATATCAACCCCCCCACAAAAAGGGTTTGCGTGGGGGTTGATAAATTTCAACCCCCATGGAGATAAAATAAGATGTTTTGCGTTGGTTGCTAGCTCACGAGTAAGTTCACCTTCAACTTCAATATCTTCATTCGTCCAGGTATTAGTAGTTTAAAAAAAAATTAATTACATAAGTAGATATACATAATATTTGTATATATTAATATTGTATTTTTAAAACACACGTCTTTGTGATAGCACTTGAAGGGCATGCCCTAAGCTAGTGTAACCGGTAAAATAATAAATGGGACAGAAACACACATAAAACATCTACAAATTACATATATTTTTTATATACTCTATATATAAAGTTTTAGCAATTGCTAAGAAGTGGGAAGGACAAAAAAACACTGTTTGGATTGCTCGTATTAAATTATATATTTATATAGTTTTAATACATATACTCGTATATACGATACCCGAAATGAGCATAAAAGTTAATGAGCATGTTCACTAGCTCTAAGAATCGACAACATTCTATTCGATTTGTCCACCTTAATTTTTTTTCTAATATCTAATATTATTTCATTTTTTATAACAACCCTTAACGTTCTATTATGATATTATCATATATCTAATATTCATTTCCGTTATTTTAAATTCCTTTATCGCTCACAGCGCTCTACTTACGTCTCTTATGCATACATCATAACCTTAGACAGTTAACTACAACAAGAAAGGTTTTTTTACACTAGCAATTACCAAGAAATACTTATATAACACAATAACGTTTCTTAGATCGGACAGTTATGATGTAATATTAAAAATCGATATGTAATATTGGTTAGTGCTCAAAAATAAAAGCAGACAAAACAAATCATTTACTATAACTAGTATGTCGTAATTTCTTATTTTGATGAGTAATAAAATCGTCCCCATTATTGATCAATGATATATACATAAAGGAACATTATTTGGTACGTTAAACATATATACAAAACTATATAATATACAAACAAAATAAATTTTACAAAATCTTAATATTATAACACAAAAGTGTGTAGTAAGCATATATGTATAAGTAGGTAGGCACTGCATTATTAATCTAATTGCATTTAAATTGAAAAATTAATAATGCCTTATACTTCACTGTAGTCAATATTTTCATCAAACATTTTAAGAAATAATTGCTTTGCAACAGTTACAGTTGTTATCTTTTATCTTTTCCAATATCAGGCTTGATATATAGAAAAATCATTTTATCGTCCCTACGCAACCACCGATACTAAATTGTAGGATGCAGAACGTTTGATAAACTTCGCATTCAGAAGACAATGGTTAAATATCTACTTCGATAGAAAAAAAATTCAGCACAAAATTTGAACCGGTATCCACAACTGCTCTAACCAACTAACCACTAAGTATTTAATTGGTGTAATTCCATCATGTGCAATGTGAAAAATAATAAAGTTTTCGTACAAAAATGGTTTCTAGTAACTAAATCTAAACCAAAAACATTGATTTTGATTTAACTCGTTCCAGCATTGCTTATATAAATATATAGTTTAATTCAACAAAGTTCAACAAGACTGGCAAGTTTGAGAGTGCGTGAGAGTAAGTGTAGTAAGAGAAGTATTGACCATTATACAACAGGAACACATATATACCTTGACTTTTACTGTGGAGATCAAAAAATATTCATTATAACATTTCCTTCCTCTTTAAATTCTCTAACCATCTTTTATATAAGTTTAAAACTGCGGCTTATAACTAAAGATTTAGAAGAATGTCTAACTTCTAGAAGAAACACGGACCCAGAACTCCGGGATACTAGTGATAATGCCTTGTATCCTCTTCGCTCGATCTTTAAGTGGCTTTCCATCGGCTGTTGACACGTGAAAGGCTTGCATGAAAATAGCGAAGACCAGAAACATACCCTGCCGCGCGAACGTCTCACCAGCGCATAATCTTCGGCCTGTGAATGATTAGTTATTGGTTACAATTAAGTATATGCAAGGGTGTGTCTTTTAGTAAAATGTTAAAGCCTAACTTGTTCGTTCTCACGTCGGATACAGTGGCTTAGTACTAGGCTGCTATAAATAGCTAGACGTTGTTTTTCCAAATCCTTTCATTTGCGGGATCTTTGGTTGCAATGTATGCCTAGTAATTAACGGGTCATGGGTTCGAAGAGGCAAGAATATCGAAATCCCGTTCGGTTCACGGACCACCGGCCACAGATGAAGAAGCCGTCAAGTTTATTCGCATTGCGGCTTCAGTTTGTAGATTTCTCGAATATCCAAAGCCAAAGTAGGTTGAGAGCTCGTCTTGTTTGGATGTTATATGGGGTATGTGAACGCCAGGCTTATCTGTACTCCACTATCATAAACAAAAAAAGAAAAATTTCAAATGCCCAATAAACACTTCTGCCGACGGAATACAAACCAGACCTCAATATTTGCAGTACGTATTTGTAAAATCTTTTATTTTTGACTAAAAAAAAGTTATGGAAATAGCTCATAAAAGTATGTGAAGCGGACATAAATTTGAAATTAAAAGTGATGATGCTAATTAAAATATACAAAAACATAGGGGTGTACCTGCTCCAAAAGACAAGGACTTGTCTAGACTGGCTTGCACTTTTCCATTTGCGATATATCTCTCCGGCCGAAAGTTTTGTGGGTCTCCCCAAACTTTCACATCTAAGTTTAGATTCATAAGGTTGACGGAAACCGACGTATTCTGAAATCACATTTGCTATAATATAATATAATATAACTTAAAAGATAGGCGTATTCTGTGGCAGATATTTTTTGTATCGTTCGAAGAAAAATCAATCTTTAAACATATTTTTTGGTTTCTGGAACCGCTTTCTCAGCGTACGCTACGGAATCCCTCAATAATATTATATAATAATCATAATCGTTTTCTTTCATCGCTCTTATTGGTCGCAGCCCGAAGTTATTATACCCTAAAGACTTCCTTGATAAATAGTCCAACCAACACAAAAATAATTTTGTGTTTGGTTGGACTATTAATTTTCAATTCAAACCAGTAGTTTCTGAGATTCGCCCTTCTAAACAAAGAAATAAAGTATTTAGCATAATGATATTAGTATAGATTACGCTGGGCGATATTTAAGATTTATTTTCTTCGAAAAGTGTTCATGACATTTACCTCTGCAATAGTATAACCACCCAATTTGGTGTCAGACAAAGCTCGATGTGGTACTCCTAATGGTACTAATGTATCGAACCTCATACATTCTCGTAGACATGCTTCCGTGTATGGCATTCTAAAATAAACAAATGACAACATTAGTATTCTGTAGTTTACATGAAAATAAAACACTTTTGAGGGTGGAGGGAAACGCGAAATCAACTTGGGCAAGACGTTTTGGATGCTTTGCGGCGGCCGTAGTGACGGCGACAATGAAAATGGTATATCTAATGTCAAAATAAAGTCTGCTATTTCAGTTCTACCTGCTTCGTTGTAGTTAATATTTGGAAATAAATTTTGCACAGTGTCGTCTCGTTTTAATAAAATAAAATAAGGTAATGTAAAATATTTCGTGTTCCAAGCGGTTAAAAGTGTTTAATTTAAATGGTCATCTTATTAGTAAGGTTCTATACGTTTTCGTTACGTGAATATTACAAGTTATATTATTTTTTATTTATTTAAATGCGCAATATGGATTTAGTGTGACACATATTATACATAAGAATATGTGTACTCTACTTATTTGTAAAATTGTTTGTGAAATAAAGAGTTTATTATTATTACCTCGCACAGTCGAATTATTACAAAGAATAAAAAAATATTATTATATCGTTTGTGCCTGATTAGAATAAGAACATATTTTATCTTTTATTTTATGATAGAGGAGCATAGACAAACATGAACCCGGTAGGCCAGCCATACAACCTGTAAAACATGATGCGTTACCGCCCTATTTTAGCTTTGGATATTCGGAATATGCGATGGTATAAAATAAATACACCTTTCGTGTGTAGCTAGACTAATTGAACTAGAACTCACTTGTCCCTATCATCAAGAGTGGGCAAACGATCTCGCCCCACAACCCTGTCGATTTCTTCGTGTACCTTCTCTTGAATTTCGGGCTGTATCAACATTCTCTCAATAATCATAGTAAGCACCATTTCTGTAGCACTTGCGGCGGGGAACGTGTAGTCAGTACAAATCATTTGCAACTGTTCCACTGAAATATGAAATTTAAAATGATAAGAATGGCGTGTTAGTTTCATGGATTAATGTATTACGATGAAATTTTATTACAAAAAAGATTCTTGTGAGTTAATCTTTTAAGATAGACGTTGCTGCGCGGACGCAGTGTCGTGGACATTTTTAGACTATTTAATCAAATAAATTTCTTGAACCGTTTTCGCAGCGAACGCAACGAAAAGCCACATAGATGAATAACGTCACCCGTTTGTACACATTTCCCTTTATTTCTTTACACCTATTGGTCGCAGCCTAGTGTTTTTAGCCTTAATCTTCCTTGATAGTTAGGCCCACAGAAAAAGTTCATTCGATACCTCGTTCAAACAAACAAACTCTTCAGCTTTATAATGTTAGTATAGAATATAGATACTTAAATACACTGGATCGAGGGTCACAAAGTTATGTAAATTTACCGTAATTAATATAATAGGTCGATCTTTAACTTGTTTATCGATGAATTGGTGAACAATAATTACCTGAGTAAGTCGTTCGCTGCTTCTCCTTCATTTCCTCTTTCATTTTCTTTATGTACATGTCTATAAAATGACGCTCGTGTGTCTCATCAAAAGTGTCCATAGCGTTCCTTATAAGGTCCTAAAACGTTAAAGGATACTTAGATTTTTTTTCTGTTGTATGTACCTACTGTTGGGGGACATTTTTTAGATTATTTAGAAAAGAATGATTTTTTTAAACATATTTTTTTGTAGTTTTGAACCATTATCACAGAGATAAATAATTTTCCTATATTTTTCACATTACCCCCCTGTTTCTTCCCTATCGGGCGCAGCCTGAAGTTTTATAGCCTAAATCTTTTTTGGATCAATGCTTCAACACATTTTTTTTTTCGATTTGAACCCGTTCTTGAAATTACTGCGTTCTAATCAACACATAAACAACCTCTTCAGCTTTATAATATTATTATGGATTCGCCGTTCAGTCTTAAATTAAAAAGCTTGGTTTTATAGGAGACCTTAATTTCGTCACTTATCCCGATGTTATTAATAACTTCAAATATGAATGCGTGTAAATCACAACATCAACTGTCGCAATAAATAAGATAAGAGAATCAGTTCACAGATGAGGAAACTTGTGCAGGGACAAAGTCTATTTTGTCTTGTTGCTTTTGAGTAAATGCTTTTGTTATTAAAGCTATTAGCAGTTATTAATGCTTTGAAACACACTATTATTAGCATCATTTGTCATTTGTCAAGCGTAGTCTTTATAAATTATAAATACCTAACCTTATGATGAATTAAAAATATTTGTTTTATTACAACAAGACGGACGGATGGAATAAAAAAACTCATCGCAATGACTTACTGCAAAAAATATTTTCTGTGATGCCATACACATAAGTTTAATAGTTTATAACGCGATCTCATGTGACCAACAGCTTAATAGCATTCGTAGGTTGTAGTTAAAAAGCGTTTATTTCGCTGCATATAGTCACAATTTTATGACATGAGCAACAGCTAGCGATGTATAAGTGAATGGAAGCCACAACATTTGTTAAATCTCGAAAACTTTTTGAAAAATAATTTTTCTCAGGTCACATTGCACATGATGGCACTATATAAATTAAAAATCGATTATAAATTGAAAAAAAAAATTGTAATGGTATTTTTTTTTCAATCTCGTATGTCAACAACTCACCCCGTAAAAATCGTACAAAGCCTTAGTCCCTGACGTCAAATCGTTAAAGCCGCTGTAGTTTGGTAAAATATTCCTCAACCAAGGCGTGATAACCAATGCACCTCCCAGATCATTTGAAGATCGTTGAAATATCAACGAGTTCTTTCCGAGGTTCCACAGCATCGGGTATTTATCGCGAGGTAGAGTGGTGTTAACAAACACGTGAAGCATCCCATTAATGAAAGGTACATCGAAGAAATGTGGCAGGTAAATCAGATCTCCATTGACGATTTTCTAGAGGACAAAACAATATATTTCAATTACAGTCCTATTTAAATAAAACACTTTAACGGTTTAAAACGCGATATATTAGTTAAACTTATTTGAAAATATTTTTTACTTCGGCCCGACACACGGTCCTAGTTCTTTCACTTTAGGTCCATTCTCTTCTTTAATTATTAACTAACCCACACATTTATTTTGGTTAGCTCAAATATAAGTGTGATTAAGAAAATTTACGTATATATCTCGTAACAGTTGTTTCATATAGAACATAAGTAAAACTGTCCTGACCTTTTCAATATCATTTTTAGGCCCGTTCTTCACCATATCTATCATCTCTTTGACATCGTGTTGTATGGCATCTTCCAAGTTTTCACAGCGGCGTCCGAAGCCAAAGTCCCGCATGTAACGTAGCGAGAATCTCCTCTGTGTGTGCCAGAAGAAACCGTCCGTGAAGAATATTCCTGTGAAAAATATATTAGTTATCGTTGACGCATATGGTACACATGTAGTAGGCAAAAGAATTAAAATTCGCATATTAAATTAATAAAAATTGGTTATACACATATATACACATAACATGTGTTTGCCTCATTTTTCATAGAAACTTTGCCTTATGACTTTGCGGAGTCAAAATGTCTTTTCAATATTACCTAAGTTAAATAAATTTAATAAAGTTAATTTATATTCATATGATTACCTATATCTATACAATACATAAGTTCAGTGTAAGCTCAAGGTACAACGAGATGTTGTATCGTTAGTTGACGTTGTGATCGTTTATAATGAAACCGTGATTACATCTTCATGGTTTGATTATAAACGAGTTAAGTAAATTAAGGATAAACTTCCGAAAAGCGCATACCGCCGATCGATCTGAAATTTGGTATACTTATGTATTTTGACCTCCTAATCACGAATATCATAATGAAAATTGGCGCAAACATTTTGAATATGAAAAAAAACCTTTTTTCGTTCAGTGTGCCTAATCAAAAAATTTTCACGAAATGGAATTACTACAGCGGGAAATATTCCCAGGTCGATTAGGAGAACAAAAAACCACTCGAGAATTAGGCTACTATAGCGGGAATAGATCTCAAGTCTATCGACAAAAGCGGCAAATATTTCCATAGGCCGACTATTACAGTAAAAAACATTCTCGGACTTCGACTAATATAAAGAAAAATATACGCAGTTTGTATCTGACAGGCGAAAGTAAATGGAAAATGCAACTACTATAGCGGAAATCATTCACTGAGTTTGATTGCAATAACGAAAAGTATTCACCGAGCTCATGTACCACAGTGGAAAATCACCACAAAGTTGAAATTGTATAGCGGACATGTGCAAAGTTTAGGTTATTGGTGAATCAATGAAAATCACACTCACACACACACACACACACAAAACGGCCCTTATCAGGGCCAGGAATGCTGGACAGACAACCTCCACGTGGTGCATTGTAGATAACGCGAATAGTCTGCGCTTTTCGGCCATGCAACCTCCAACGCTTTGACGAACTTGGATCGCTATGGGTAAAAAATGGTTACACACAAACACATACACACACCCTTTTCGGGAAAAGCTCAAATAGTCTACATTGGTTAGAAATGCGTGATTAGGCACACTGAACGTAAAGAGGTTTTTTTCGATTTTCATATTCAAAACGGCGTTTGCGCCAATTTTCGTTATGGTATTCGTGATTAGGAGGTCAAAATACATAAGTATACCAAATTTCAGATCGATCGGCGGTATGCGCTTTTCGGAAGTACACCCTAAATTAATTCAATAAAGCTAATTCATATTATTACTTACATCAATGTATAAGCATACAAAGTTCAGTGTAAACTCTTTATAACAAAGTTAAAATAAATGGTTAGTTGCCATCGCGATCGTTTATAATAAATCCATAAAGACTCTGAAACTAACTCTGTGGATCATACCTAACTTCTTCCAATAGCACCTCGCCCTTCCAAGCACAGTGTCAACTCGTCCATCAAATTCTTCTCTGATAAGAACTTCCTTGATCAACTCCGAGTCGTTTACCAAAACCTGAGGTAAGGGGCCTAAATATAGACCCACAATTTTGGTATTGTATTCCTTGGCTAGTCTCATTGTTGCGCGTCCGAGATCATTGAAGGCTTTTGCCAATAAAATCCAATAGCCTCCATACACCGGCAGCCTTACGGGTCCTGGGAAATTAATAATTTAACGTTTGAAAACTTCATTAATTTTTACATGTTATTGCACATGAAGGCACTATATAATTTAAAAATCGAAAATAAATTGAAAACAATTTTTCTTAATCTGCAAAGGATAAAACGTTGAACCTTAATACGCAAGTGTTAAGGTTGAAATTACATTGCGCGGCAGGTGCATGTATCAATAAGTTGAAAAAATACGACGATGAGGTGTAGGACTCGGTAGCTCAATTGTTAGAGCAACAGCACGGAACGCTGACGATGCCGGTTCAAGTCCTGCCGAGTCGAAAATTATTTCAATTTATTTTCGATTTTTAAATTAATAATTTAAGTTAAACCTTGATTTTCTATCGCTTACATTCTACTACAGACCACGAGGCCCGTTGTTAAAAAAATCGAACTTGCAGTTTTTCTAAGAAATTTTCTAGTACAAGGAGGGAGAAAGAGTAAGTGTCACCTCCGTGTTTTCAAACCAGAATTTGGTAACATCGCAATAAAGCAGTGGTGGGTCTAAGTTTTTAAAAAGAGAGAACATCAATGTCCAGTAGTGGAACATAAATAACTTGAAATGATACCAAATTGGGCCAAGCACGTGTCAAGATAGAGATAATCTCTGCGACGAGTCACGTGTTTTATGCCACTGTTTACGATAATTATCATTTTAAATAGCATAATGAGGAATAATAATCGTCTAAAGACCTCTATCTTTTAAATGAGGAAAGTGTTTTAAATACAATATTGTTAGTAATAAAGAAGAAAGTCAATGACATATCCTATATGTGTATTATGAGAGCTTCCAACGTAGGACCACATGCGCCAAGTAACCCATTAAGTCACGGAGGCGCTGACAATCATATACTTAACCAGGAATTAATAATGGATGAAAAATACTGTCTATAGTTTACGCGAGTAGGACACATTTAAATAAAACACTTTAACGGTTTAAATAAGTTTAACTAATATATCGCGTTTTAAACCGTTAAAGTGTTTTATTTAAATGGATGAAAAATATCAAACAATAATAGTGCTCAAAAGGTCCTTATTATGCTTATATTAATATATACACTTACACTTATAAGTTTTATACGTAGCATCTTCGTTATAAACAAAGTTTACAAATATTATCGATGTAAATCAAATAATAGGTACTAAATATTAAAATAACGATTAAAAACGCGATATATATTAGTTAAACTTATTTGAAAACTATATTACCTACGGCCCGACGTTTAGGATTATTTGCAGCAGCCGTGGTCACGGGGAGACCTAAGATAAGCTTAACCAATATATATTGCGTTTTAAACCGTTAAAGAGTTTTATTTAAACGTGTACTATTCACGTAAACTACAGACAGTATTTAATTAAAATATATTTTCAAACATCCACGAAGACGCTTTTCAAATCAGTATTCAGTGTTTTTACTTTTAACCTTCGCGATTATATATTTAAAAACTAAAGAAATTCTATTCTTACCTGGAGGAAAATTCTCCTGCCTGTCATAAGCTTCATTGAACAAATGTTTTAAATAGAAAGCCAATAAACATAAAACAATAATAAGACCAATCATCTTGCTACGACGTCTACGACTAAACGAAGTTGTCATGAAGCACAGAACTAATATACCAGTAGGTACAGTGGCCATATAACGGCTGTATGTCCATTCGTTGCATTTGTATTATAGCTATATTCACTTTAAATGATTAATTATTGATAATTGAGATCGGGTAGACGAAAGGGGATTACTTCTTTTATCTATAGTCTTAATATAGATTCTTCTAACCAATATCGAGAGAAAGCTGTACGAGAAGAAAATAAATATAAAAGCCTAAACATTGTCTGTAGTTTACGCGAGTAGTACACATTGAAATAAAACACTTTAACAGTTATAACGTTAGTTAAACTTATTTGAAAATTACTTTAAAATTCAGCTTGGCTGCTGCCAGGCATTCGAAATGTCGGGCCGTAGCCCGACATTTCGAATGCCTGGCAGCAGCCGTGGTCATGGGGAGACTAGAGTTAAAATAATTTTCAAATAAATACTGTCTATAGTTTACGCGAGTGGTGCACATTTAAATAAAACACTTTAACGCTTTGCAGCAGCCGTGGTCACGGGGAGACTCCCCGTGACCACGGCTGCTGCAAAGCATCCGAAACGTCGGGCCGAAGTTAAAAATAATTTTCAAATAAGTTTAACTAATATATCGCGTTTTAAACCGTTAAAGTGTTTTATTTAAATTTTCAAATAAGTTTAACGAATATATATCACGTTACGTTTAACCATTAAAGTGTTTTATTTAAATAAAAAGTCTGATTAATTATTTTTGTTTCTATTCAGCTTATTTTTTGGTATTTATAGAGTAAATAATTCTCCTTTAATTTGTTTTAAAATGAACTAAGAATAATAATATGTAAAATTAGGGGCCTTGTAAAATGAACACGAGTCAAAGAAATTATTATTTAGGTCCCTTGTTTTAAGCTGCTAAAAACCTTTGCTCCTCGAAAAGTATACATCGAGATAATATAATCTTAAGGCAATTTTCTGTTTCTATCAATATACATACCTACACTCTAGAATTAAGTAATTCAATAATATGTTTATATTATAGTTTAATTATCTACAACGTAGCATAGCGTTCAAGAACTATGTATGTTATTTATGTATGTAAGCATGTGGCCGGTTAAACGTCAGGAAATTAAATGCCTTTTAGATCGCGCGCAGTACCTAAACCTCGTTCTCTCTACAGAACATCTCACCCTTTTTATTATAGTGAGATTTTTAGCACTCCTTTTTTTGTATTAATCTGCAAAAAACATTATTGACGTAGTAGTATTGCACAAATGACCGTCACGTACGTTAAATTTAAAATCATTTATAAAAAGGAATTATTCTTTCATAAATATTTCTTGAGGGCTTCTCAAGATACCCATCTTGAGAAGCCCTCAAGCCCCCAAGATGAATAAAAGAATATTATTCATCAGTTTTTTCCACATTTTCCTCAAAATTCATTTTTGTTACACGGGTTTGAACTATCAACCCGGACTCGATTTTTATATAATAATATCTTTTTATTATTATTTTCTTTTGGGTACACCGTAGAAGGCCACATGGTCTGCTAACCATTTTACCCCCTTTTCCCTTAGCGGATGTAACACAAACATGTCTTGTAATCCAATTTTATAATAAAAAATAATAAATAGGTTTTAAAAAATTGCATACTTAAATTGCGACATTCCATTTAGAAATCGCTATTTAACTAATTGTGGCTAAAGTACTTATTAGGTTTAAACACTTTTACAAAACTATTTGGGATTAGGATTTAATAATTCCTCAATATTAGTGTCATACTTACTTAATTAGAATGTCAAAAACAATATCTATACGTTGTTGGTAAGTATTAGGTTTAAGAGGCATGTAACGTTACGTGCAGCTTGGCTAATAGAAGTTCGAGTTTGCGTACTATTGGAATAGAAATGTAATTATAAATTTATAATCGATATTTAGGTAGGTAAGGGTAGACGTACATGTTACAACATTTTATAATGGACCTAAGCGATCCTAGAGGTAGGTACGTATAACGTGGTAGTCGGATAACGTGGGTTTGTACGATACTGGTTTTTTGGGAAGTGACGTTTTCTTCCATAATATTATTACGAGCAACCTACATTTCTAAGTGGAGTACTTCATTTAAATAAAACACTAACGGTTTAACGCGATATACCTATATTAAACTATTTTAAACTTCTCCCGTGACGACGATTGCTGCAAAGCATCCGACACGTCGGGCCGAAGTTGAAATTAGGTTTTTAATAAATTTAACTAATATATATACTCACGTAAACTACTCAGTATTTGGATTACTTCATTTATGTAGTTAACTAATACTGTAAAGTTATCTTTAACCTTAAATTAGAAAGTAAAACTAATTGTAGCGGGACCAATATATCAATCTGCCTTTAATCAGCTAATTAACGCGATTTCATATTATTCGTATTAGCTGATAACCTTTACCGAAATGACCTTATTAACTGTACATACATAGAGTACAACACATTTTTTGAGATTCGTATGTGCTCTAGTACATTTATTGCAAATATTTTACCTACCCACTTATTACAATTGAACCTATCGCCTGACTACTCACATAAATGGTTATACGTGTATATTTACTGATGCCACTAGATTTTTCTTTACCGGTCGTAATTAATTCTATTGAAAAATTATGTAAAAAGCTTAATAAATTTAAGAAAAATAGATATATCCTTTTATTTCCCATGTTGTGAACATCCATACGTTAGATAGGCCGGTTCCAATGCGCATTTTCAAGTAGAAACTCAGTAAACAATAAGCTTACGTCGGGATTCAAATCCCATATCCGAATGCTTTAAAAACCAGTCACGTTTTTATTCGTATTTACCTCTGACTATTGTCTCATACCAAACCACTAATTTGTAATTTACGTACATCTTATGTTTTAAAACATAAGACGTACACACATATTCGTGATAAAAGGTTATGTTTTGTATTTAAACACCTAAATTATCTATTGTTTTAAAAGCAATAAAGATTATGATGCAAGTTACAACATTTTTTTAATCACCTAAAGGCGTTTTTAATATTTTTAAATTCTATTCTATAGCATTAAAGATGGATTATACAAATACTAAAATAATGATACAAACATTAAGTATTTATTTTCAACATTCCCATTAATATCCTACTAGACTGTTTTCAAACTGCTACATTCTTTCCATTAGAATTTTAGATAACAAAGGTCAGAACTGCACAGCTGGGAATTGGATCTGTAAACAGTAAAATATCTTTATTTGATTTGATTTATAGATATAATTTGTTTAAAAACTATCTACATATATCGTCGATAGTTTATGCGAAGCAATACACACAAATAAAACACTTAACGGTTTAAAACGCGCAATTTGAGAAAAGTTTTCACTAAGACCAAACACTACAGGTAGTTTGCAGCGTCTAGGTCACAAGAGTCGGGTCTTATTTATTTTAAGTTTAGGACGTTAAAAGTGTTTTATTGGAACTACATAATTTATTTAAAAGCTTACTTCAATAGACCATGCATGCATGTCCTATGCATTTCCAGGATTAATAGTGTCAATGCAAAGATCCTTTATGTTCGGGTAACAAAAAGTATATTGTGACTGGCCCTTTCTCTGTGTGGACAATTTCCTTGTGGCGTATAAGTTGAGTTGCAGCGAGGCCATAAAGTAGACATGGGATTCCTGAAATGTACATCTATGAATATAATTGTTTTATATACAAATAGGTTAACATTCTTATATGGAAACCTTATTTAATATTATTTTGTAATTTAATGATAATTTCATTTTTAACCAAAGAGGATTATTATCTTTGATTGTGTGAAACAAACTATGTTTACTTGATTGAGGCAATACTTCCATTCGCATATACATATTGTTATTTTTAAAACATACTTGGCAACCTCATAATAATAAAAGTTTTTAACACTTGTGAAATCTAATAATAACTAGCATCCATTAGCTTTTAAGAATTAAAAGTAAGATCAGCATTTTATTACAAATAAAGCATACTACAACTTTGTATTACATATTACATTTGTATAGGGAATACAGAAAAATTGTTAAAACTTTACCTAGATTAGCCATTTTGATTATTCTCATAAATCTATCAGACACAGTCAAATCTTCCTCCACTTTTTTGGAACAATGATATTTTATGTATGGAAAGCAGCCTGTCCTTAAAATTTGATAGTTAGACTTCCCAACTTTCCAGTTGAAATTCGACATTCCAAATTGATCATCCTTCACACTACTGTACTGGAACATGTGGTAATTTTAAAATGCCAAAAATTTTGACTTAGAGATGTATTCTTTATGTTTAATATAATAATTTCAAAGATAAGAATGACGAGAAAAAACATGCTTAAAAACATCTTGTAAAAATCCCTGTCTAACGAGCATATTCTGATCGAATATAGATATTTAAATAAAACACTTTAACGGTTTAAAACGCGATATATTCGTTAAACTTATTTGAAAATGATTTTTAACTAATATATCGCGTTCTAAACCGTTAGTGTTTTATTTAAATGTGTACTACTCGCGTAAACTATAGACAGTATTGAATATGGATATTCTTTAATATTTTATGTATTCTTTTATATTTATAACAGTTTTATCTTTAATCTTCACCCGATGAAACGTCCTCCATCCCCATCATAATGTAAACAAATGTTTTTTACCTTAACAAAGTAAGAGGTCCAAGGAGGTTCACTACATTGTAACAAATATGCAGTAAGAACGTCTGAAGCCGCTGGTCGTGAAAAAAATGTTCGATAGGTTATAGAACTAATTTCGCGGCTAAAATTGATGGCACATAAACAATACATCATGGCAGTGAAAACCTTTGTAAATGTCCTTAAATCATTTATTGATTAGTTTACCTATATTTGGTAATATTAACATTTCATAATTATAAAACATATAATTTTTGTAAACATCTTTTATTTCAACAGCTGACTACAAGACAAGGTGACACTGACATGAGCTGTTATATTGTTACTATAGACTATATTACCTACAGATAATATAAGTCATATTTGACCAGCGCAGTAGTTTCCATACTTTGGAGGTCCCAATCCCAGCAGTGGAGAACTATTTATGGTGGAACAGTTTATGAAATTTTCTAAGGATTATTGTACACAATAAAAATTTATATAAAATTGTTTATTTGTCATACAAAACAACATTATTTCATTGATGCCATTTCAAAGATCATACATACGTAGAACGTCTTAATAGTAATTAAATGCTACTGTATTGTTTAATAATTACACTTAGTGATTAAATGTACTAAAGAATCTCCTATTTTAAAAACTGGCATAACTTATTTAAGTATAAAATTTGGATAACCTTATAATTTCATCTTAACACAATTAAAAACATATGCCATTAATTCTTATCACAGTAATTTATATATAAGGATAGCATTTATAACTATCACTCTAACGTTAAAGGTGAATTTCCTCAGATTTGTCAAAAAATTAAATGTCATCATTTCATTTTTGGCTGACTTGTAAACAAGGGCTAAAACAAGACTCAGTCCTAAAACTCTGTTGACAAGTTTAAAGTTTTCTAACGTTCTAGAATTGAATAGCAAATATAATATTATAAATCTGAAGAGTTTGTTTGTTTGAAAGCGCTAATCTCAGGAACTACTGATTCGAATTGAAAAATTCGTTTGGTGTTAGGTGGTTCATTTTTCGAGGAAGGCTTTAGACTATAGAACTTCAGGTTACGACTAATAGAAGAACAAAAGCAGTGGGAAATGTAGAAAAACCCTGCATTCTCTCTCTCTTCATCTGCAAAGATTCCGTTGCGTGCGTTTCGAAAATGGTAAGATAACGAAAAATATGTATAAAAAAAATTAAGTCGTGTAAAAAAAAGTTCGCGACATATGTTACTTTTTATGGTATTAAAATTTAGTTAAAATTCATATAAAAAAGAAGTTTGCCGTTGGCAAATAATATCGATAAAAATACTATAATTATTACAATATAGAATTAGTATGATAACAGGCTATAACAGGCGTTCCTTAATAATATTCGCAGCTTCAGTTTCTCCAATATTGTGTAGTAGGATTATTAAGGACTGAGATGTGACACCATCATTTAACTCCTGAAACAGAAAGAAAATAGTGTTAACTTGACCTGGATGAACTTGGTGTCTCCGAGTGGCGAACCGTGACGGAGGAACGGCGGAAGTGGCGTTCTCTTGTTGTGGAGGCCAAGACCCATTTTGGGTCGCTACGCCAGCGGAGTAAGTAAGTATCTACTTTGGAGAAGACGCGTTTCAAAAAACATGTTTTACTGATCGAATTTACTAACATGTAAGTTGACATATATGTATTTAAATAAAACACTAACGTTTTCAAACGCGATATATATCAATATATCGCGTTTGAAATATATGCAAATTATTTTAACTACGGCCCGATACCGTTTGCGATGCTTCGCAGCAGCCGTGGTCATGGGGGGGCCTGATATATATTATCAGGTATGTTCCCTCGGGATTCAAACTTAGCACCTATCGCACTTGACTAAAAGATACTGCGTTTACAAGATTAAGTTTCCGAGGCGTTAACAAGTTTATTTTTATTACAATTATCCTCTGATAATAGTCCTATTTATAAACATTTTATTTACCTTTATGTGGTTTAATAGAGTTGTTGTGGGACTTGGTGTCGCTTCATACCACCTAAGCAAAGAGTCTCTGTGCAAACGCTTGGCCAACTCGCGCCAACCTTCACTTCTGTCCAGTATTGCAGACACCTCACGTATGTATGACGAAAGCTCTGATAATTCGGTGGTACATTCCTGAATATTAAACAAGTTTAAAATATGTATTGTAAATGTGGAGACATTATTGTGGACGCAGTGGGCGAATGTCGAAGAACGAAAGTCAGTGAAATATTCCTTTAGGGAATTAATGTTTAGAGAATGTAACTAATAATTAACGGGTCGCGGTTGGATCCCTACCGGGTCCAACATTTTTCCAATCAATTAATTTTTCTGAAACATGTTGGTATTGGTCTAGATATAACCACTGTTTACAGATTAAAATTCTGTGAAATTTAATCGCGTTTGCGTGTCAGTCTGTGAATTACCGAACATCCAAAGCCAAAAATAGTTTTTTTTTAATGATAGAGGAAGATAGACTATCATGGGATTCACATGATGGTAGGGTTTAATACCCACTAATGACCTTTTTTGGCTTTGGATAAAACGGTCAACAAAGGATCTTGTTTAGATGTTATATGATTAGGGTATTTCATCTACCATCAAGTGAATGGGGATGCTGGGCGGTCCTCCTCAATCGTAAGAAAAGAAACCTTTTACACCATAATGCATTAAACGGTACACTGTTGGTTGAAGGTTCTAGTCCTGGAGTCGTCAGTTCACTTGATAAAGTAAACGGAATACATCTTACCTCATCAGCAGACTCGTAGTCATCTTCTGGCTCTGATTTGATAACCTCGTCGGCAAAGATTGCGTATTGATGCAGCAACTTCATCAATTCAGGTTTATCAGATGCCATCTTGAATGCAACTTTGCTGTTTTGGTCACAATTAGTGGGATCCGCCTGTATTACAATACAAAATTTGGCAACTGTGCTAAAACTAAATGACTAAGACGAAATGTCATGATTTACAGGATAAATATTATTGAACTTCATTAGTTTAGCCCCGGCCATCAAGTTAAGCCGTCTGTTCCGGTTATCAGCACCTATTAGGTGGGTGTAGTCGTGGGTGTAGTCGTGTCCGCCCACCCCACGACTCCAGTGTTTGTTGGTAAAAGTAAACTCTCTCGAAGAGAAAGAAGATTATAGCAAAACGATTGGCAATATTATACTACATATTTATAAATTAGAAATCTATTTAGATTGAAAGAAATTTAAGGCCCCAGCGTGAACTGCATGGTAGCTCAATTGGTTAGCATTAGCACGGAATGCTGTGGATACATGTTTAAGTCCCGCTCGTGTCGAAATTTATGAATCTAAATGGATCCTTAATTTATCTAATACCATCTCATCATCAATATATGACACCTAATCAGGAATTTTTTTTTAATATTTCATAAAAGACCTTTTTCGGCTCCTATTGTTTTGTGACAATGTTCTTAACGTGGGGTATACTTTTTTTAATATAGCCGCTGTGCTACGTAGTGTATAGTAGTTTTTGCCTTACCTTGTCTAGTAGTAACTTTGCAATACTAAGAGTGTGCGGTCGTAGTGGTCCGTCGCATGCTAGCTGTAATGCGGTATAGTCACGCCCATCGGTAGCATCAATATCGCTCTGTAATTACACCGAATTTCAGCAAGCGTAAAATTATCCATAGTGTATTTTTTCTTACTTGGCATTGTTTATAAGGAAAAGTTTAATTAAAACCGTCATAGTAGTGATTTTGAATATTGGGGTCGTTTGGTCTATATTTAATGGATATTTCTTTTACCCTATCTAAGACAAGTCTTCCGGTTGAAATCATTTGTCATCGCAATAAGGTAAATTAAATAATAACAATTAAATAAATTTAAATTATTAATTATATTGGATTATTATTGTATAAAAGGTCTATTGTATAAGCTAATTTCTGTATATTATAAAGCAACTAAACAAAACGAAATTGATGAAGATAGTAAAATATAAATATTTTTTTCCATATAGACTGTTCTTTCTAGTTACACTCCTGTCAAATTTATTATATTTTTTAAGTTTTAAATCGACGACGTAAATCTACGCTACCGGTAGACATTTTCAGGCGTTGCACCTAAGGACGAGTTTAAAAAAAACACTTAAACGGTTTAAAACGCGATATATATTAGTTTAAATTATTTGGAAATTATTTTCACTACGGCCCTACGGCTACTTTCGTTCTGTTTCGAATCGCCTTTAAAACCATTAAGTGTTTTATTTAAATGTGTACTACTCGCGTAAACTACAGACAGTATGTAGTAGTATTTTATGGACGTGGTGTTAGAATTATTATAATAATAATTAATGTTACAAGTAAATACCCCGTGAACTTACCGGCGACATACGACTCAGCAAACATTTGACGACCGGCATACAGTTATTGCTCACTGCTAGATGTAATGGAGTTCGTCCTTCACTATCTCTGACAAGACAACTGGCTCCGAAGTCCACGAGAAGTTTAGTATACGTCTCGTTTGAGTATGTTGCACTTAGGTGTAATGCTGTATGCTTATCTGTAAATTGTTTATAAAAGAACAGAAATTAATACTTGTTAAGGCAAGAGTAAATAAAAACTACACAACATGTTAAAAGTCCATATTTTTTTGTCATTTTAAATTAAACGGTGTGTAAGGTAAAGGTAAATATTTTATCATCGAAAAACCTTTTAAGATTGAATAAATTGTATAAGGCTTTCACGGCAATCGAGGAGTTAACATCTCCTGATGATGCCGTCCACACGTGATGGCGAAACGTCGAGAACCTCTCTCTTCTCGCTCACATCGGCCGAACAGCCCGAAAGACAATGATATGCTTTTGATTTGTTGCATTTTTGTTTTCTTTAGATTACACTTTTTTTATTAATAAAAGGCCTACCAACTAAATACATAAATAAACTTACAAAATCTATTTCTAATAATTATTCTTACTACTTGTGTATCTAACTTAAAGGTATGATAAATATGATAACTAAAAGATAAAAATAAACATTATGAAGCAAAAATTAAGCTAGAGATAAAAGTAGGTTACAAAATTAAAAAAAAAAATTATGGATGGGAAAATTTCTTAGACTTTTTTCTTAAATATATTTGAGATGACGAATAAGTGTAATTGATACAATTTTAAAGCGCACTAATTGTTATTTGCTTTAAATTCGAGAAAACTAACAGATTCTATAATTATCCATATACCGTTATTGAATTAAAGTAAAGAAAACAATTTTTAGGTAAAAATAAACATTCCATACCAAAATTACATGCGTCGATATCGTAGTCCTCCTTGTCTTTAATTCCTTTAAGCAAGGGCTCGAGGCAAGAGCCACGTATAACTGCGTAGTGGATCGCGTTGTTCCCCTCATCATCATCGAGCATGGGATTGCATCCTACAAAAATAAGAACGAGTACATAATTTACCTGATTCTTAACGAAAATTTAACTGCTAAAATGCTATTTATTTAGCATATCAAAAACTTTCTTTCTTTGGTTCTTGTAGCATATGGTTTCTTTACAAGTCAAACAGTATTTAAATTAAAAATAGATTATAGATTGACAAAATTTTACAACACGGGCAGCACATGAATTGAGCTACCGTGTCCTACACATCACCGTCGTTTTGTTTATAACTATAATCTATTTTGAATTTATATAGTGCCAACATTTAGAAAATATAAAAGTAGTAAAAAATGCAGGAGTCAAAAAGTAGTAAAAAATATTTGTTACTTATAGGCAAACGTTCTAAAAATGAATGAACAATTTTAATTTTTACTATGAAGAAACAAATCAAAGTTTCTACCGAATAAACTTCAGAACCAACTTACCTTTAGATAGCAGGAACGGTATTAAGTCAAACTGATCATTGATGATAGCCATGTGGAGAACAGTTCTCAAACGATTATTCTGGATATTAAGAAGACTTGACATGCCCATATCATGAATCAACTTGACGATAAAATGTAGACTTGGCTGGTTGCTGCATAGGGTCATGTGTAGGAACCTGTAGAAATGAAATACCTAAATTTAGTGCTTTTTTGTAAGATAGCTTAGCAAAAGTTAATCTAGCTCATTAATGGTACAGGGTTCCAAAAACCGAGGTAGTATAAGGATAAAAGTTACCTTCGTATTTATTTTAAAAAATCCAAATTTATCGCGGATAAGAACTAGTTGGCTATATTATCACATTAGAAACATCTTTGGAAAGCTAGACCGATTATGATGAAACTCACGCGCGTAAATGTATAGCTATTACTTTTATTATTAAAAAAATAAAAACCATCAACTACTTTATAAAGGGACTAGTTAACTTACGTGTCGCCGTTAATAAGCCTTATGTTGAACAGCTTTTTCAATTTATCTTGTACGATTTGTCGTTTTCCATCTCTTTCGCTTCTTATTATGTCACAAAGCTCTTTTACTAACTAAAAATAGAAAATAGAGTATATTTTTTGTACATTAAAAATATTATACTAATCATTATTTTAAACATAATATAAATAAATGCGATGTCTATCCTCTACGGCAAATAGAGACTAATTTCTATTACTAGCTCAAACCTACTTAGTAAGTAATATTCGTTATCAAAAGAAAATTGTTCTTTATGAAAATGAAATCTTATACTCAATAAGAAACAACTTTTAACATAATAATATTGATTTCATGTCTAGACATACATACATAAATACTAATTAATTGTTCGGTTGTAAGGTTGGTCTATTCAATCTACGCGCTCGTTTCGTTAGTTACATAAGATTTTTTACCGTCTTCACCTCCAAACCATCCTCTGGCGTGTACACCGCAGAATATTCGGTTTTTACACGAATGTCTTCGTGTAATTTAACTGGCGATTCCTCTTTTATATCCTTGATTACTTTTTCTTCTGGTTTTCTACATACATCCTGCAAATATTATTATAGAATAAGTAAATATTTTTTATTATAACAGATACAAAGCAGTTAAACATTCTTGGCATTGGATGTTGTTGATTTATATTTTAAGAATTTTGACACTTGCAATGACAAGCAGTTCACTTAGGTTAGGTTCACTCCACACCAATAACCTCTTGGTAGATTGTGCTGTAGTCTGAGTCGATGTGTGATGTGGTTTGTGGCCACCAGTCAGACAACATTCATATTTCCAGGACATTACATTATTTAGAAAAATCCCATAGTTTTATAAACAAGCTAAATCCGATGGAAATCCATTTCCTGATCCACAAGCCTGTTAATTTATAGTCTTGTTTTCTTTTTAAATAAATATTGCATTAATACATACCCGTACTCTTGCAGAATCTCCCACGAGGACAGAGTTCTTGACAAACGACATCAGATTAGTCTAAGTAAAAATATATAATAAATTAAATCTTTGTATACCTGACTAATGTTTTGAAATATTTGATCATAGATCGTTTATACTATGTTTTGCTACGATGTTTTATTTGAATGTATTTTAATTAAGAAAAATTCAAGCTGTAGTAGGAATATCAAACAAACAATAAATATGTAAAGTCAAATAAATACAATAAACTCAAAATGTAATTTTAAATTTGTTTATCTTAATGTGTTGTTAAAAATCGTAATTGTACTTCTTTTTTGGGTTCTTTACCATTATGATCCTTTATTGGCTTATCTTTAGGTATAAGTATTTGCAAGCCATACATGTATGTATTATTTTGCCGTTAGAGGAATACGAAATAAACAATAAATGTATAATAAAATGTTTCACTTACCTCGCTTGAAAGATTTTCATCGAATGTCCGGAAATATTCTGCAAAAGAGGCGCTTCGTTAGTAATATAGTATTAAAGTAACTACGTAACTGATGACGTAAGTCTTAAGGTTGAAATGACAATGCGCGAAATATATATATTTTATATAAGATCCCTCATCGGTCTTACGGACAAAATACGGTAGCTTAATTAAATTTACAGCTGTAAATACACTGTTTCAAATCCCTGTGTCATATTTTTTTGGCTCTATACAACTCTATCGAATCCACTTACCGCTCAAATCTGAGTCCAAGAAACGTCTTCGCTCTTCCGAAGGTATGTGCGGGTTCGGTTCCAGGAGCCGGTTCATTTCTGTAGAGTCGAGCTGGATAATCGGCGGAGCTGGTACATTTGGCTGACTCAGCATTGGACTTATGTAATGAGAGGTATTGGTATGGCTAGACACGTTCTGTAACAACGCGTCGCCCATCAAGTCTGAGTTTGAGGGGGGGCGTAGGTGGAATCTATAAGATAACAAGTTCTTCAATAGTTTCATATTCATTGTAAGTATTTTGATGTGCTCGTTGGTGTAATGGTATCAATGTAAGGCTTATAATCACCGGGTCCTGGGTTCGCTTCCCCCGTGACCAACATTTTTCTCATTAATTTATTATGTTTCTGGAATGTGTTGAATTTTATCAAATACTGAAATTCCGTCCGGATCACGAACCTTCAGCTGTAATATACGTTATATTTTTCTACCTCAGATGCGTATAGTGACTTGTACTTTATTACTCACTTTGACCTTTTATGTCACGTTACACTGAAACGTCAAACGAGACAAACGGTTCTTTCTAAGCTATACTAGAAATTTTTACTAAATCGCTTAAGCTCGCATATAACATGAGAACAGACACTGACACGACTGTCTGGCTGTCAGTCGTTATAATATATATATATATATATTTATAACACAGTATAACTTAAGAGTATAACAGTACAGTATAATATAAGAACAAGAGAGCTTTAGCCTGTATAGCTTAAGTATACTTGAAAGTCATAAGTAAATATAACTTACATAATTGTTTGGGGGCAAAATTGGCATGGGGTCAATATCCATTTCCTTTTTAGTTAAGGTCTGAAAACAAATGAGATGATAAAAATGATTTTGTAATATTTTTATAATCAGGATTTTTTATGTTTATTATTACTTTATTTTATTGCTATTTTATAACAAATAGTAGGTATAGTAAACATAATAGTAATATATTGAACATGAAGTATGATTCAAACCTAGCACTCCGGGATACAAATACTTACGTTTGCAAAATCCAGTGTTAGAGGCAAATCGCTAAAACTTTTGACTGATCCACCTAGAACAACAACAGACTTTTTTTAGTACAGGTAAAGTAAAATTCTTATGTTCTTAGAGTATTTGATTTTAATACTACTCCGATTACATTACATGTGAACAAAATAAATATATTCATACTATAGCCTTATATAGGTAGATTCCCTTTGTTGTACAAAGTCATTAGACCCAGAGAGTAACGCTCTTTTTTTTATTAGAAGTAAAAAATACGCTGCAATTATGGATCATAAAAATATTAATCTTTAATTAGTTCCCCATACCTGAGCTGCCAAGAGACGAGTAGGATTCAGCCTTTCTCTTCTTCACGTCGCGATTATACACGTCCGCTATGTAAGTGAATTCTTTAGGTTCACTGCAACGACCGTCAGATGGACGCAATAGCTCGAAGAAAACCTTCACATCTGTTTTTGTCTTTGTGTCGCGGTACGGTGGCGTTCTAAAGATACAAAATAATGTTATATACATAGTTGTACATATATGGAGAAAATCAATCAACATGTTGTGATATTTTTCATAAGTGCATTTAATAATATAGTATAGCTATGAAATAAACAAGAAAATAGTTCGATTTTGTCGAGCTCATTGGTTGCAATGTATATACATATAATAATTAATGGTTTTGTTTACCATGAGGTGCAAAATGCTTCTAACACATATTAGTCTTCCACCAGGAAATCTATATATTAAAAGGCTAGGTAGGATTATCTTATTCCGTCGCAGTCAAGGACCACCTTCTTTGGATGTTATATGGCTTTGGTAATTCCCCTACATCAAGTGAACATTCTCTGTCCTCCCTTCGCTATTATATAAAACAAATTAATTGAAGTAAAGTTAAAATCTCTTACGTAAAGACTATCGCATACTGATGATGGACGTCGCTTTGTAAAAAATGGCCTCGATCTTCCCACACCTTATCGCCAATTTCATCCAACTCGTAAAACCGAATAGCGATGTTTTCTAAATAAGAAAATAGGTTTATTAGAAGATGAATAAATAGAAACCCTATGTATAAAGAATGCCTTTGTCAATCTCAAAAGGAAAAGGTGTTGTCTAGCATCCATGTCCATGTTTCCCAGGATCTCATGATTGATGACACGAGATCCTGGGTTTACCGATCGCGTTTTCAAAATAAACAGCATTGTGCCCTCCATTAATGGGTTTAAATACAGTGCTTTAACGGTTTAAAACGCGAAACATAGATATCCGATAAATATATATTAAAATTGGAAGTACTATTCAAGGCAGTGAAAGGTTCCTTCCGTTCTTAAAAAGTCAAAACAATTATGAAGAATTAGTTCTTATAGGCTCTTATGCTTATCAGATGTAGAATGTGTACATGTATATACTAACTTTTGTTAACTTTCTCAACGAGTATATAAACGGTGTCCCCTCCATTTGGTCTGCCGTAATACCGATTGGCCCGGCATATCTTCAAATCGTTTGTCGCAGCGCTCTCTATTAAAACAAAAACTACTATTATTTTTAGGAAAAAAGGTTTTGGAGACAGAAGATGGCTTTTTAGTTGTACTTAGATGACTTTACCTTTCTATGTTAATGTTACTGACTTATCGTGGTAAGTCAGTGCCAGATCAGTGACCTTTTTAGTATAGGTAAAAAAAAAAATCGCTGACTAGTAAATTAATCATTAATACTTACTTAAATTATTGATAGACTGAGAGAAAACTGGTGGACATATCGGTGCGCCAGTGGTGACATCATGCGCTGTAAACATAAGTCTTACTATGTTCAAATTGATGTTTTTTGTCTCGTTCTCGCACTGCATGCGCAGCTGAAAATACAAACAATAAGTTTATACTTACGGCACGTACAATACATGTTAAAGGAACACAACTGACTCTTACACAGCTACTATTCAAACTGACGAACACACAACCAAATGTATCAAATTAAGCACATTTTTATCTTTATACACCCCAATGTTTATCACAGGTGATAACAATAAAATGAAGTAGTTGTTCCAAAGAATCGTTGCATATCAGTTCACTGTTTATTATATGTTAACTTCTAGGAAGTGTAAAACACTGGCAAGCTTATAGATGTAACAGCCAACAAGTAGTATGAATTCAACATTGTATAAATGTTTAGAAAATAAATCACATTTATTCTATTTGAAACCAGAAAGATTTTTTTTTACTACCATAAAAGATAATAATAACCTTTCTTTCATTAAACTCATTTTGTTTGAGTTCTTGGGAATACCTCTTGTATAATAGAGTCGGAATATCTTTCTTCGCAGTGTGGATTATACCCAAACCACTGAATCTGTAAGAAATATTTTCAAATTAAACTTTATTAAATATACCATCTTTTGGAGTTTATGAATATATGGAACTAAAAGAGACAAGGGCAATCAACAATTAAAGAAATCGACGATCGAGAAGGTGTTAAAGATGTGGACGATGTGACGACGACAAGCAGGAGTAGTAGATGCTGTGGAAAGTAAGATATGGTAGTTGTTTAATGTAATGGAATAGTTAAGTTTGAAAGCAGTTTTTTGGTGGATTTAGTTAGGGATATCATTTTATTATGGGGCAGTTCAGTTTTTGGTATGCCAAATTAATGTATATGCAATGTTAAATATGTTCAAGTGTTGAGGGGGTGTGTTTAATATAAGTTTATTTATATTGATATTGGCTGGCAACACTTGAATTAGGTTTTTAAAATGTTCTATTCTATGTTTATTTGAATTCACAGGATATTGTTTTATGACTAAACTATAGACGACAGTATTTAATGATTTCTCTTCTCGACACACCGGACGAAACACGTCGGGGTTTTGTACAGTTATTATACAAAATTATGTTAACAGTGCAAATATTATAATACATGTGAAAGTTTGAAGTGGGTGTGTTTTAATAAATAAATATATATCCCTCCACCGCCTTCTCTAAGCTTCCACGCGGACAAACGATAATAGTATTCTCCAACACCATCTCTTTTGTTGTGTTTAAACACCATGATAGGTATTTAAACACAACCAAACCACACTTTGAGTTCTGACGTGTTAAACAGAAATATGTCACATGTCAAAATTTATAATAAAAAATAACAGTGTAATGGTAAAGTAACACTTACGCTACTTTATAAGATCCTCGTAATGGTAACAAGCTTGTTATATCTCTGTCCTGGTCTTCTTCAGTCAGTTTATGAGGATGCTCCAGGGAACTGTTGTGCCTTGCTAAACTGCATCTTATGAGTGCACTTCCATTGTAGTTGCACAGCTAAAGTAAAAAAATACAATAATAAATAAATACATTTTCTCTGCTCTACAAAATACATAAATTAGAAATAATAAAGATGTAAAACAAAAGTGAACGACTATAGAATAGGAATGCAATTGGGAAACATTAAACAATTGATTTTCTCTGCCCCAGTTTTAGTTTAGTCACTTATATTATCAATCAAGTTATGAAGTGGTTATACACATACAAATATTTTTCCTTAACTAAAAGTCTTGTAAAGATTATTTTTTATATAAATACAGTTAGTAAAAGACAACAAGCTATTTGTTTTTCACTCTAAACAAAAATAAGATCACATTCTCACCTCTACTGTGGGATGACTCTTAGACTTTTTTACTTGAGCCGAATTCCTTCCTAACAGACACCCATGTGTACCTAGCATTTCACTTCTGTAACGAAATCTAAAGTAATCAACCGGTTCTTCAATAATCCTTAAGTAAGGTTTGTTTTCTAAAAATAAAGAAAAAGAAATCTTTCATGAATTTTTTATACAATATGTTAGGTACATAGTTTGTTGTATTAAGTATGATGGATGAGTGCTTTCTCAGTTTTTCACTTACTTCTGTTTGCTTAATATTCTTAAGCATTAACTGCCAATTCTGATTCTTTACAAGTACACATATGGTAAGAAATATATTTTACTTTACCAAGATTAAAAATTGTTACCTCGAATTGCATCTTCACAGGTCAACTCTATTATTCCATTGGCTAATTCAGGAACTATCTGCGAGGGTGAAGTACCGGAGTAAGGAGAAAATGTGGACTCATTAGAGGCAGGATCCAAGTTGGATGATTCACTCATATTATCATGTTCACTAGACGACATTATGTATATTTGTGATCAACAACAACAATACAACAATTATAAATAAATATTTTATTCACTTGGTACTAAGCTCGTCATGTCTTAACTAATAGAATATAATTATTTTGATGATATTAAATGCGCAATTATAATTATTTTTTGAATTAAATTTAAAACGCAATTGGATGCAACTTTCCTACTTGCAGGAACTTTTTTGTATAATCCATTTCAAACTTTTGACATATGTCAGTACTTCGTTGCTGTTTAATGTTACCCTGTACATTTACTATTTTTTGGCTACCAAAAAATATAAATCAGCTTGCTGACTTGGACTTAGTCATTATGGAGGACATTATTCCTAAGGGAATCCTTGATTCCATATTTGATAAATGAATCCTCTGTGGATTAGCATATAAAATATACAACCAAGTTTAGCGAAAGACCGATATATAAAATTAAATGCGTTTAAAAAAGTCTTTTAATTATACTGAAATCCATATTTCAAATAATACACAACCGTTTCTTATACATATATGTATTATAACTTAAAAATATACACATATCTTTTCTTGTTATGTGGGTGATTTTATTCACTGGTATCCCTGTATCGCAATGTTAACGGGGAAGAACCATGAAGTAATATTCGGTCGTGAGTCATAAAAATCCCCTTATCCGTGTACGTGGTTATCTTTATTTAATACTCGTACGTATGTAACCTACCTATAGTTTTACAAGGCAAGAAGCAATAAATTGAGTACTACTTTTTATTATTACAATACATTTATTTAATATAGTAACTAAAAAAAATCGTAATCTTGTTCATGTGCCACATTTGAAAAATGACACTTTTATTATGTCGGACGTGTAGAAGTACTGTACTTCTACACGTCCGACCTAATAAAAGTAGAAGTTAGCGCGACCACCATCGTGCGCATGGTACTATCAATTTTAAGCTTTTGTCACAACTGATATCTGCTTTTAGCGTTCCATCCGCGCTAACTTCAGCCCCGTCCAAAAAGTTTGGAGAGCACTGTACTTCTACACGTCCGATATACAATTCAAAATCCATGAACTTAGACGAGACCCAAAAAACGTAAAAATTTACCTACGTACGTAGTAGATATATATGCCTATTTGTAATTTGAACATTTTTAACTTACGGTCAGAATTACCTGCCTTGCCCATAAGAGTTTTAAAGGAGGAGCCATGGTTATAATTTATTGACCAACCCTCGAAATCTAGACAAAACCATTTACAACCTTCACTTTCTACCTAAACATATTTAACCGAAGAGTAATTTCAACATGCGCATGATTTGAATGCAATACGCAAACACCGGTACAACTATTTCAGCATTTATTACGAATACCTACTTGGAATAAAGTGTTGATATTTTGTTGTATACAAGTGGCGCTCATTAAAAATCCTCTAAAATAAATTCTCCATCATAGAAAATAATCATATAGCCCAGTTTTCATAACATAAATTGTAAAATTGACACATGTTAAAATGTTGCTTTTTACAGTCATTACATCGCTAGCAGGTAGAGAATCAGTTTGGCGAGTGAGTAGGCAATAGTCTTAAGCCTATTTGACTATAAGGGACAATTAATAAAAGTGTCCCGACACCGTTATGTCCGTCGAAGATAGGACGAGTTAGGAAGTTTGCAAGTTTGTATTGGCGTTCAGGAATGGCGTCAGGCCTAATTCGTACGAGAGCTTTTTGAACGTCCGTTAAACCGCCCCATTTCCCTATCCCGTACAACTGTGATGGTAAGAAATTTTCTTTATTGTCACAAAACAAAACAACAAAATTAAGCTCTTTTTTTTCAATATTCGATTAATAGTAATTAGGATTGCGGGTTGGTCAAATCATTCACTATAATAAAGTAATATAAAGAAGAATGTCTATTAGTCTATAGATTATCGTTGTTGGACGAGTAATTAAGTAATTAGATTTTTACAGTTTAAAGTCTGTTATGGTGCCTAGGTATAAGGGTAGGACTAGGCGCTTAGGACCTGTAAGTCTTAACAAAATTTAACTTTTAATATTATTTCTTCTCATCCAGTTCAATAGACTAAAAGTATTGAATACAGATGCCACTTTAAAACATATGAAAAAGCAAACAGTAAGTTGTTGAACCATATTGAAAATAACTACCTACACATTGAGTAAATATTTAAAATTTAAAGTATGAAAAGAGATAAAAGACGCCGTCTGTTGATTTCTTAATATGTACGACACATTTCATAGGAGAGAAAGAGAAACCGCATTCAGTCGAAATTTCCAGTCCCAGTACATAGTGCGCGTGGTGGTAACTAAATACTTGTCACTATTCAGTAATCAGTATGCACCGGGAGTTTGTGGGACTTCGACCTGTGTGAATTTTGTGAATAGTTCGCATTACTAAAAATAAGTGACATTCGGATTTTTATCAAAAAGGTTAGTTACGCTTGTTATGCTTTTGTGTATCCTGTTTTACGGTGTATCTAAACTTTTTCTAGCAACAGGTATTTTCCACTATTTATCATGAATATATGGTACATGGATTTCCAAAAATGTGCACATATAAATTTTTCATAACGCTATTCATGTAGAGTGAATTATTCAATAAAATTAAAATCTCATCAGCAGTCAAAGTGGTATTGGAAACGCATTGCGTTTTATGAACTATCAACCAAAAGTCAAGATGGCGCTTAGTAAACAATACAAAAGCGCTTAGTGTATTCTGTACTCTATAGTCTAGGTCTTTTTAGGTTTACACTGTAACTCAACTTTACATACATTGGATTCGAGTAAATTTTTATAATTGATGGGTCTTGCCAATATCAGAATGATCCTAAAATTTCAAGTTCCTAGAACTTCTACAAGTTAAAATTTTTAAGATATTTAAATAAAACACTTTATCGGCTTAAAACGCGAATATTAGTTAAAAAATGAGTAAATATAGTAATAATAGTTAAATAATATATTGCGTTTTAAACCGTTAAAGTGTTATATTTGAATGTGTTCTACTCGCGTAAACTATAGACAGTATTTAATTTTTAAGATATTTATTATCAAAATTTTGATTAAGATACGCGCGATACGCAAAATTAATTGTGTTTTAACTTCGGACTACAGACATCATTTCGACGTTTCGTTATTAGTTACGTTAATAGTTTAATCTCTCAAAATAGTTTTTTTTCTTACTCTTTGCTATATTTTTTTTGACAAATAACCTATCTTCCTAGTCATTTATCTGTTAGTGACCGTTATGAGGTTGAATTTTAACTTGTAAACGATTGTTTACCTCAAAAGCAGGAAAGGAGGCGAGCTCTAGGAGCGGAACCCTCCGCATTACAAACAAACAAAAATCGGAAACTTATATACTTCGTGTATAGGTTAGAACAATTAAAATTTTCCAATGTTTAAATCTTTAATCTCTTATTATTATTCCTATATTGGCAGGATCTATCTAACCATAACAACATTCAAATCAAACGTGCTTTGTAAAGTTGACCCTTTGTACCTAAATAATTTGTTTACTGTAAACTATACATAATAATCTGTATGCGTAGCGATAAATTGTTTTAAATTTTCTTTTTGCAATATGTTATAAAAATCGGTATATGATACTGTATAAGATAGTTAACTGTGAAACAGGCTTTAACATTGTGCAAAGAACGCAAAATTATGTATTTTTTTTTTAATACAACTTAAACAGGCCTACCTTTAATGAAATCAATAAATAATGCCAATTACTGTAAAACTTACTAAAACAAGGGATCTCAATTTATTACAGCATTAAAGAAGCAAAAAGATGACTGGTCCAGCACAGAATGAACAAAACAATGCCAATGTAGAGAAAATACCATTGCCACTGTCTCCACAGAATGCTGTTTCTTCAAACAATAGCAACGTATCTATTCAAGTAATGTATTTATAATCATGTTATGTTCGCTTATGTCCTATTGTTACTAGTGTTATACAGTCATTGACAGTAACTACATATTAGATGCGAAGTAAACATTTTTATTATAACTCTTAAGTGATTATGAAAGAAAATTAACAGTGTACATTTGCTTTAAACTTTGACAATTTATTTTAGGAGAAAGATGGCAGTATCCAAGAAGTAGAAGAGAATCCAGGCAATAATAATTGCACTCAATATGCCAAACGTCATACACCATATCACAAGGAATATTATATGTGTGATGTGTGTTTTCAATATGATGGCGAACTTGGTGTAGTATTACTAAGATATGTTCATGACGTTCATGTGCATGCACCAGTCTGCGATGTTATCAGCTCCTTAAAAAAAATGAATCCAGACAAACTTCAGCGTGCTGAAGGTTGCGCTCTGATGTTTCAAAGATGGCCTTTCCTGATCCAAATTTTCGGTTCTGTAGCAAAGACTTTTAATGAAATAGCTTTACAAGCTTTGTACAATAAGATGGATGACCAGAATGACACAGGTAAAGACCTTGAAAGTGAAAAATTGGACTTACAAGATATATTCACATGGCAAAAGCGGAATACAGATATGTCACTGAAAAAAATTATAGGGCTTTGTGTGAGGAATGCAGTACCAAATAACAATATTAATTAAAATATAAATAAGATGGTTCTTTTAGGATAAAATTAAGTAATTTTTGTGATCATTTGTAACTTTTGTGATATCTTTATATTATTTTTATTAAGGAGAGATAAAAAGACTGATAACTTAAGTACTGAGTAAAGCCCAAACCATTTAACATTGATATGCCTTTGCTTAGACCTGTTTACAAATACATGCTAACATTTCCGTCTAACATACCTTGACTAATATTGGAATATAAATTAGGCAAATACTTTGTCTTATCGCATTTTATATTGATAATTAAATAACTAAATATAAATAATTGATTTGGCATATTCAATTTATGGGTAAATATAATCATGAACAATTATTATTTTCCTATATTAGATAAGAGTAAAAAAAATATCTGCATAGGTGGGCTTTCTTAGTTTTAAGCTATCCCCTTTAATTAAGGCTAGTTTTAATATACTTCTTTTAATAGCACTTTGTTATCAACCAGCTCGTGATGTTCTATAATCCTTGGCATATAAATTTTTAAACAGAACAAATTTCAATGCAGGAGGGAACCTGTTTTACTACTTGACCTATAACAATTCTGTCTCTATTTTGCTCCTCTTGAGGGATGTATTGTTTAAACTACTTATGTGACATTCGGGGTAAACAAATGAACTAAGTACAAGTTATTACTTGTGTGTACTGTGCTGTGATTAAAATATGAATTTCTTATCTTATAATGTGGTTTCCTTTGAAAAAATCCATGAGATTCAAACATATATTTAAGAGAATTAAATATATAAATATAAATAATTATAGTTACATTTAGTTTATCTGTTATTTCATTTCTGAATACACAGTGTTCTGATAAATAATAATTGAACCAATATATTCTAATAATGCTAGTGTGTGCTAAGCTAGAGGCAGAGTAGCCTAACTGCAATTTTATGACTTATTTATATTTTTATTGTCTAAAAATGTTAATTTACAAGAGCACAGTGACCAAAGTGTTTCCAGCAGTCTCAATTCTGGGAATTTGAATAGCCGAAAATTATAAAATATCCTTGATCTAAAAAACAACGAATTTCCAACGGGCTTTCATACATTTTCACACAGTTTCGACTATGTTTTCATGTTGACTCATGTATTCTCTGTTTTCATCGGTATGAACTAGGTGCCTTATACGCATGTCATTAGATCGATTTCGGTTTGAACAAAAAATTTTATTAATTGTGCATTAAGGTATAAAAAATAATAATTACAATTTTAATCATTTATTGTAAAATTTTAAATGGAATGTAACAAATGCACGAACAAGAAACATGATTTTAAAATAAACATAAAAATACTATAAAACGTAATCTCTAGGAGATTCACTTCTACATAATTTTTATATAAGATAATACATAAATAATAAGAATAATGAATAGTTTAACAATTAACACTTATTTATTAGTAAATGTGTATTCAGATGTATGAATAATTAGTGATTGCCATAGACAATATCAGCCTCAGAAAAAATGAATTAAATCTTACACACAAATTAATCGATTGATAAATTTAATCGATTAATGTGTACTATATGATGAAATATCTACATTTATTTGTTAGTACATATATACTATGCTACGATATCATTTGGAGCCTTATAGTATATAAAATACAGTGATAACTTTTGAGATTACTGCTGCATTAAAAAACTATTGCTTAAAATTACTGCCATACAAAACATGATCTTAAATGAACGAAGGTACTAAAGCAAAATTTCACCAAGAAACAGTTATATATATTTTTTATATAGAGGATAGACAGGTAAGGGCTTTACTCAATGGGAGGTGAAATACATATAGAATCTAAACAAGATGGGCTGTCGCCCTGTTTTGGCTTTGGAAATTCGGATTTAAAAATAACTATTAAAGTGCAGATTGTAATGTGAAGACGAAATCGAACTTTAACATGTATGTTCCTGATTCTTAATTATTTCCTGTTGAAATTGGATGAAAATTATTTTAGTGGTGGAACAGACGAAGGCTTGTATGTGCAAGTGTAACATTGTGGTCATTGCACGCTTCGATCACATCCTTGTCATTGTTAGATCCCGATGGACTGCCGATGTACTCCACACCGACCTGTAAATATTATATTAGCTTAAAAATCTAAGTCTTTATGAGAAAAAAGGATAATATAATAAGACACACAATTTGCTTTAAAAATAGTCTCGGAGTGTAATAATAAAATATGACTGAATAACATCGAGGTTTCAATTCCCATCAGGACTTCCAGGGCCATCAGTTACTTTGTAAATAATTTCATATTTATTCAATATACATTTTTAACTATAACATATTAAATTTTGTTTGTTTAAAACATATCTGACCTGCACGGCTCTATCTATATTGTCTCTGAAGGGGAAGAAGGCATCGGATGCGAGAGCGACTTTATCCATCTTCTTAACCCACTCTTCTCTTTCTGCATCCGTCAATAAGGCAGGCGGGGCGCCATCGAATAGACTGTTCCACTGGTCAAATGGTAAATCAGATCCTACAAGAGAATGTCGAGTAAACTTTCACTTTAAAATCGATTGAAAAAATTTATGAACCGGCGGAATCCACAGTATTCCGTGCTGATTCTCTAACCAGTTAAGCTACATTATCCAACAAGATTTTTTTTTAAAACCTATTTATACACGCACCTCTCGCGCAATGCAATTTCAACATTAACAACACTTAGACTTGCATTAATTAAGTTAATTAAATGTAAACTACAGACAGAAGTTTCAGATACTTCGCAGCGATCCAGTCCCTCCGTGACCACCACGTGAAAGCATTCGAGACGTAGGGTCCCTGTCACTTTGATTGAAGATATCCTAAATACTGTCTATAGTTTACGCGAGTAGTACACATTTAAACGATTTAAAACGCGATATATTAGTCTCCCCATGACCACGGCTCCTGAAAAGCATCCGAAACGTCGGGCCGAAGTTAAAAATCATTTTCAAATAAGTTTAACTAATATATCGTGTTTTAAACCGTTAAAGTGTTTTATTTAAATGGAGATATCTTACCAATGGTTCCGCTAACATAGTTGTCGATCGCATTGGCTTGTACAGCTCGAGTAACGCCCGCTTTGAATGTCATAGCTAGCACGCGTGGGTGACGCCGCATCCACCAAAGTGACGCTTTCCCCCCCGCCAACCGAGTGCAGTGAATACGGGATTGCTGTCCAGCACCGATACCGATTACCTAAAACAAACACGTATTTATTAGTACCACCAGACCAGTCACTTGAATTTGTATGTTGATTTGGTACCTATATGAAAGCAATTTGCTCTGTGCGTCGGCCGTCGTAAGTTAGCACGGGTTAATGATCTAAAATTCGGTTAGATGTGAACTTCTATAAAAACCAGAAAAAGTTTTATAAGAAGATATGACGATTTTTAAAATATAGACATGTGTTTGAAAAGACCTCATTATGACGTCACGTAACGACGTCATAATTAGGTATTTTGATTTTGTTCAAAAAGTGTATATTCAATATTATTCGTATATATAATAAGATATTCAATTAAATTAAAAACTTTAATTAAACCTTCAATAGAAGCAACAGTAAAGTCTTAAGTTTTGGTGAACCAAGTAAAATTTTTAGATAACATTTGAAGATGATATAGAGAGAATATAATTTACTACATTAAGAAAGTTTTCTTATCAAACAGAGCATGCGCATAACATACAAACAATAATACTTATGCTGGTACCGCCAGCTAGTGGTAGAGTTTTAAACTAACGGCTTTACCTAACCTTTACCTAATATAAAATACCTAAGGTATAAAAGAAAACACACAAGAGGACTCGATCGTTATTCGTAGTTTTGATGACCATACGACGGCAAGGGCCAAACGAAACGCCATCAAACTGAATGTAAAGTGAGATAGAAATACTGAGAGGCACGTAAGAGGGAAAGAGAGAAAGAAAATAGGCGTCGACTGTGCCACCCACAGGGAATGCACTGTCGAACATAGTTCAACTATATTACCAACAAGATATTATGACGTATTCGTTTTAACAATTGAAGTTCCGAACCGCATACGTTTACTTAATTGATAGAATCATTATCTCTACGCAATAAACATTTCCAAATGAGATGATACGAACGAAGTGACATAAAATATGTTTTAGTACAGACAATAAACATGTACAGGGTTCACATGATGGAAGGTGATATGTAATACCTAATTTAGATGCGTTGTCGGCCTTTTTGGCTTCAGACATTCGTAAGTCTACAGACTGAAAGCAAAACGGATTTTCACTTGGAAGATTTGTGAGTAGGGCTGAGTTACAAGGTAACTTCTTTGTAGTAGGTAATTTTTACAAGGTCTAACATGACTCAGATAATTAAGTTAGAACCACGTTGGACTACGTACACGACCACTTGGTTACTAGCCTTACATTTCTATCATTAGACCAACGAGCCATTGGAATTGCTAAAATTTATTAGTATTTTGTACGGACTGAAACGTTCTAGTGAGTTTTTCGGTTTTGGCTGTGGTCATAGTAAATTATATTAATTATAATATGTTCAAATAACATTTATAAGAACCTCGTGTATTAACTAGGAGAAAACTTAATTTAAACACGTAGTTTAACAAAACTGAAAACGTCAATAAAATACTTAGAATTTCTAACAAAGAAACTTCATAAAACGGGAGATTAAAATGAGTAAGCGCATCACAATGGATAATTGCAATGAACTAATACCAAGAAACCTGCTCAAATAATCAATAGATTTTTTGTTTAAAAGTCGATAATTCTTAAGCTGATTTTTCTTCAAACACAATTATAAAATAATGATATAAAGAGTACATTTTAAGCCAGAGTATACATAAATGCATAAGTAAAATTATGCCATTAGATGTGCTGAGTTCAAATCCCGGTAAAACACATAGTTGTTTATAGTCAGAAATTCTGATCGGATATTGGCTTATAAATAAATGCTTAGAATGTGCAAAATTTACACATACATGAAAATAATACTGTCTATCGTAAACGTCGGGCCGAAGTTGAAGATCATTTTCAAATAAGTTTAACTAATATATCGCGTTTTAAACCTTTAAAGTGTTTTATTTAAACATATACATGAGTGTAATTTCACGTAATAAAAAGTAAAGTAGCCTTATGACTAGGGAGGCAAAAGGATAACATTAAGTAGGTAGTTATTTTTTTACCCATAAGTGATTGACTTAAATATAAAACATACATAATTTGTTTATACTGCATTTTGCTGTTTTTTAATCTAATGGTTGCATTGTTTGGTTGGTAAGCAACAATTGTAGGTTCGGTACCACCGACGATTAAAAAAAATTACAGGTTCTTATAACCATATTTGACCAATGGCCAGAACAATATGGAAATTGAATGTGTGTGTGGACAATCGAAATTCTATTCTATGTGTGTTTGAAGTGTCAACGGGTTGCTATTGGACTGGACAGTAACAGCATTCAGTGTTAATAATATTAAGCATATACCTACTAAGCGATTTTTTATGGGGCTGTATTCGACTATAAATCAAGTAAATACCATGCATGTACTGATCCGTCATATTAACTTAATTCACATCTCTACCATAACATATCATACTTTCCCAAACAGTAAAAATAAAAAGTAAAAATTATGTCTTACTATTATTTTTTATTAATTTTTACTTAACAAAATAATAATATTGTACTGCACATTTCAGCGCAGCATTCACTATTGTTATCTGCTTAGTAATAAAAATACCGACGCGGTTCGGCAACGTCGCTTGAATTTCAGAATAGTGGATAGACAATGTTATACTATTTCTAATCGTTAGTAACAAGACATTTTGCCGTTGTTTATTGTTATTTGCTTAACTTTCTAAAATTCAGTTATTAAGAGTACTTCCCTAATCAGTTAATTACTGAACTGACTACTTAGTTAACGTATATTCTTAATAAATAGGTATTCTGGATTCGTTAATAAAAGATAAAATATTATTATTCCTTATAAACACAATATGATGTTTATAAACACAAGAGAGGGAGTTAATACTATTAAACACAATAAAGTTTTCGTACCTATTACCATATTCTTCAGAATAAGCGATTTTTATGAAATTTTATGGTAGGTAGGTAGTCAATAAATTATCAGTAGATCTGTCACGTAAGTTATGACTGTTATGCAACAATCTTAAATATTATTAGGTATTTTGTTGTTCTTGTCTTCCCTCATCACTACAACCTTCACTTACAATAAGTTCGTTATTATAATTCTGCTAGATTTTTTTTAAATTTAGGCAATGCCCTAGTTACCTAAATTATAAAAACTCTTGCCGGATCAGCTAGTGACATAAGACTTTGACATTTGATTCATGACAAATTTATTACATAAATACATACCTACATGTTTATTTTAGGATATAATGATAGATGCCATTAAGGGACCAGTTAAACAACATGTTAACAACGTGGATTTTGAATCGTATACGGATGTCGTTGGAAGTTTCCAAAATGCAAACGCTTTGGTTTAGGGACAGAGTTACCTGCCTTGCCTTTAAGGGTCGAAAGGAGGAGCCATGGTTGAAATTTGGGGAACAGCCCTCGTAATCCAGGCAACAGCATTTACAAACTACTTTCAACGTAAGGATATTAATATCCTGTCATATCCACAGGAGAATGATCCTGCGTAGGTGATTTAACAAGTTACTTTTTGCAATTATTTTGACTATAGTAGGTAGAATCGTAGTAAACAGGTGGTAAAATTTAAAACGTTTTTAGCATGTATATAATATTTTTGCAAAAACCCTTAAATTTAATTATATTACACCAAAATAGTATAGTGGTCAAAAATAGAATTCCTGTTTCTGTTAGAATTTAAAAGCCTTTTTACAGTGACTAGGGTCCCCAGCAGGTAAAGATTCAAGTTGAAGCGCACATAATAATAGAACCATGACAGATGTGTGCGACAGAGCAGACTATATTTTCAGTCCATGTGGCTAAAAGGGACAAAAACAATAAGGGACCTGGACTCCCGAAACCGAAGTAAGGGTGGTACGACCACGTGCTAAATTTTGGTAACGTTTGTATTTAAGTCATTCAGTCCCAGTGATCCCTTAAAAGGTTTAATATATACTAACCCTCATTCCTATACCTACTAAGTATATGTAAATTGCATTGACAAGAGGTCAATCAAATTATACATCTTTTGCTATATAATTCAGTACATAGCGTGTTATTGTCATTGTACTGATCGAAGTTGCAATCTGTGTAAATGTATTGTGTTATTTTCATTGTACTGATCGAAGTTGCAATCTGTGTAAATTAAAAACACTACCTACAATATAACGTTCAGGGAGGTTAGGCATTATAAACAAAAATTAATACATTTTTGCCCTACTGTGGCTATGCTTTTTCGTAAAAATTATTGAATTAAATAATAAAACTTGATTTTCAAGATATGTTGATTGTATTGGTATAAAGCTTTTAGTTCAAGAAAGATAACGTAAAATATTCTTTAATATTTTGGAGTAGGTAGTTGTAAAAGTTGTAACCAAGCCCTAACACAGAGTCTAAGACAGAAAATGTTTATATTGTTCTATATTATTTAGTTCATGAACATGAATGTAATGTGTTTTGTAGATTACAAGCTGCGAGTTAAGCCCACACGGCGCGAATTGCATGTTATATGAAAAAAAAATCCAGGCAGTTGCTTGGACCCTTTTGAATTTAACTATATTATATGAACAAAAAAGAACGAGGGAAAGAGATGCCAGACCGTTTCTCAATGCGTCCGACACCCGAAATAGAAACATTTAAATTCAATAAGAGTGAATGAGAAAACCAGAACGTTCCCAATCTGTCTAAGAAAAAATTCAGCCCTAGTAAATAAAACGTGTAAACTAGTTGGTAGCAGTTATGAAATAGTCAGTGCTGAGTGTGTGCCAGTCCCTAAAAGGACCACAACCTATGTAAGGAGCTAAGTGACCAAATACGCATAATAAAAGAAATTTGTCATTTTTTGATTGATATTAAAAAGGTATGTTAAATTTAATGTCCTTTTATTTACGATGTAGGTAGGCATACGTTTGCTAACAATAGTGTTTCTTAATTTTCTTAAATGATTATAATTTCCAAAATTCATCAGCAGTCAATTTATCTTAATTATATTTATTTATAATAAATTTATCGCGTAAGAAAAGTTCGCTATAATTAAAGTCACATCATCTGTCAAAATGGCGTCGCGTCCCTTATAACTATTTACTATTAAACAAGATGGCGCTTCGTACTTACCATTCGCTTAACTTAACTGTTGAATTTAAATCAAATTTTACTTATAGTTTATACTAATAATGATTTTATAATTTTACTCCAAATTCACAATAAGTTATATCGTGAATCAAAATAAATTTAAACTTTTAAAATGAATAAATCTTAATTTATTTCAGAGACTTCATTGTAAAAATCACGTAAATCATGATTGGTACAAAACTGATCGAGCAAGATACAGTGGAGTCAGAAGAAACAACGACTCCATGCTTTGAACCGGACCCCGTCGTTTTAGGCAGTGCAAGCGAATGGGCTATGCAAGTACCACCGAACATAATGGTTTGTTTATAATTATTTATTTTGCTACAACCATAGATATTCAACCAATAATGCACTTGCTGGTTCCGCGACTTGGTGTAACTAGAATGGTTTTTGTTACTGGTAATATGGGAATAGATCTAAAAAAGCTGTCATGCTGCAACGATGGATACCATTTTTGTCTCAGATTAATTGTATAGATACGGCTATAAATGCGCGCGCGGCGGGTGTTAACTTTATATAACATACCTATAACAACATTTTTTTCTAACTAGCATTGGAATTTAATATGTTTCGCAAAGCTGAGTTTAATTACAAAATCAAAGTTATTTCTTTAGTACATAAACAGACAATGAGAGACAGATTTTTTTCGCGTCTGTATTGAAGAAACTTCTCGCGATTTCTGCGCGAGCTTTTTATACGCTTTATTATAGTAAAATGCAAAGCGATTTATTCATTATAATTTCAGTTTCATGTGCGAGGATCTAAACCTAAATATAAAATCAAAAGTGAAAAGTTGTTTATTCAGACCCCTGTCTCAATTGCGTTTTTATTGTAGGAGGAAGATGGCGGAGTCGAGCACGCCTGTTCTATGTTGGTCAGAAATCATGCACCATTTCATTTGGAATATTATACATGTCCTGTTTGTTTTTGGCATGACGGTGCGCTTGGCAGAGTATTATATAATTATACACATGAAAAGGAAATGGCAGAGGTCGGAGACGGAACAAGGAATAAAAATGATATGCGTGCCATAGGATGTACCATGTTGTTTCAGAAATGGCCTGGCCTAATGGAGGTTTTAGGCCTTATAACAGAAACTGATAAACGCGATAAACGATCTTTAGACAAGAAGATGAACGTTGAGTATGGATACTTCAAGGAGAAATGTAGGATTCGACATTTCATAGGGCTATGTGTAAAAAACGCTATAGAAGACAAACTGGACGATTTTTAATTTAATAATTTAATGAAGGTTGTATTTTTGAAATGGTAATTTGTGATGATTTGTAACTATTGTGATATTTTTATATTATTTTTATCTAGGAGAGATAAAAAGACTGATCAGCTTAAGTACTAAGTAAGGCCCAAACAGACTAATAAAAATATAGACAGCATAAAAATGAAATATTTCTCCTGTCTAATATATCATAATACATTTTATAGTTTACCTTTGAGGTTTAGAATTTTCTTTGCTTCAGAATATATATTTAACTACTAGTTGAATATATTTTAAGAAAGCCATAATACATTTATTTGTCTCAATATTATTTACAAGATCAAATTCATATCTAAACTGTAAATTTGTATTTCAATGTACATTCAATCTCTTATCAATTATCACAATTGTTTTATGATAAAAAGTGGAAGGAAATATTTCCTCAACATAGGCGGGTTTTCTTAGTTCTTAAGCTATATATGTTAATTAAGGCTAGTTTTAATATATCCATAATTAAGTTTTGGCTGCTTCTAACATTCGTTTCTTATACTAAAAGTCTTTATTTAAATGGCACTTTGTTTTAGTTGGTCGATTCTTAATTTACACTAATACATACTGTTTTATACATGAAAATGAATGAATTGACTTAGTACAAGTAATAGCTTGTGCAATAATAAGTAAACTGTGCTGTGATTAGTTAATAAATTGCTTATCTTCTAGTTTTGTTTCTTTTTTTATGAAATACACATTTAATTTCAAATTAAAAATCTCTTTTTAACAGATAAAAAGTTATAGTTACTTTTGTATAAGGTAACATACACTTTTTGACAAAGACACAATTTTTTTTATTAATATACACTATTTTTATTATTATTTTGTATAAGGCTTTCGCGGCGATTTTGCAAAGCAAGTTTTTCCTATATTGTAATCGATTTGTATGTTATCGTTTTATATTTAACATTATTTTTATTACTTTATTATAGTGGCAAAATATTGGGAATCAACTTACCTGGCCATCTCTTGCATAACAGACTGAGTTGCTCTGTGTGTACTTGAGTGCTATTGTGGCAACAATGAGGTCCCTTACTGCGTTTTGAGGTAAGTTCTTCGTCTTAGTGACCACGTTCTTGAATAACTCTGAAGTTATTTTGGCGTCGTTCCGCCTTTGCTCCAGAGTGAGGCCAAAGATGGTTTTCTGTTCCATTACATCTGGGGTGTAGCTTGGATCCATCTGAAATATTATGGTTTTCCATATAGATTATATTAAAAAATGTGTTACGCTGTATCCAACTTCTCTACGGTAACAGTATCAAATATAAGTACTTAAAATGTACACAGTTTATAGAACACTATTGTGTATAATGCTGTATATAGTGATATTTGTAGCTTATTATATGCTTTATTTTGTACCACTGTTCAAAATATGTGTTTTAAAGCAGAATTTAACTTAAATGTATATGATAAGTTCTAGTCCGTATTAAATTTAAAAATTCTTATAATTAAATATGTATTTTTTATGTATGGGGATCAGAAAAGTTTTTAGATATACATCTACACACTTATCTATTTGTAGGAATAGATTTTTTTCCCTATTAATATTTTAAGATGTCCAATTGAGTACCTGTAAAACGCAGTAATTGCCACCCTTCTTCTTGCTTAGTATAGATAAAGCCTCGGGCGTATACCCTGGAGCCACGATACCATCTGACACCTCTCGGGATATTATCTTTGCAGTGATTTCATCACAGATATCTGAAATTGCTATAAAGTCTCCGAAAGAACTCATTCGGTCGGCACCTCGCGCTCGTGCGTATGCGCAAGCAAGTGGCGTGAGCTTAGGCAACAAATCATTTACCATGCACACGGACGCCTGGAATTGAACAAAAATAGGAATAAAAATAAGACATGAAATAAAACACCATTCAACTAAATTACAACTATTTAGGTCTATCACATAATACTCGGTTGTCTATGTGTATAATAGTAAGTTAATGATAATAATAATAATGATAAATGTTTTGAGAGATATTTGAGTAACAACACGTTATGAATATTTTCTATTGAGACCATCGATTGATCACTCCACATGCTGACTATATCATCTATTTCCAGTTCAACATCTATGGAGGATTTTGGTGCTATTGTTCCTTTTTCTATCTATATAACTTTGTTTGGTATGAAGTAAATAGTTTTATTACCAAAATTGTATAATACTGAACATTTTGCATATGAAATAAATTGTGGATCCACATCACAGTACTATCTGCTATAGAGTTTATGAATTGCCAGTTCAAATTAGAAGTAACAATATTTATAAAATTAAATTACCTCTTCTTCAGTTAATGACATCCCAACAGCGGCGCCAGCTGGCGACACGTGCTTGAAACTGGTCGCTGCTGGCAATCCTAAGGCTTCTTTGAGTTCACTCACCAATTGCCAGGCATTAAGAGCATCACAGAGGTTAATAAAACCAGGAGCACCATTCAAAGTTGTCAATGGAAGCTTGTCCCGAGTTGTGAACACTTGTGCAGGTTTTTGGTGTGGATTCATACCTGGATTTATGAAGCACAACATCTCGTCAGTGACTTTTGATACACAATATTATGTTTTAACTTATAACTTCCGAACAGGTGTTTATCGAGGTACAAGTTTGAGCTTAGAGTCTTTTTTCTTTTAGTTGAATGATTTGATTGTTTGTGGTAAATAAATAATTTCATTTAAAATCAAAGGGTAATACAACTTACCATATCTCAAGCTCAACTGTGACTCTCCTGCTGAATACTGTTTCCGAAAGTAATCAGATATAGCTGTATCATATTGGGAAGTGTGAGTAAAAGCCTTCAGAGCTAATCTTTGCCTAAAAGAGAATTATAAAAAGGTTATAATGCATATTTATAAAACTGGTTAATTTTACTAAAAAAAAGGGATATATAAGCAAGTTTGTTTAAAGTAAAGCTGATAAAGACAAGAAAATACTGACGTAAGAGCTTATTTATGCAATAATATTAACTACAAATATTTATGTGACCGCTAGTGTCACAAGATAATTTAATAGTTTATCATTGACCCATTCCATTATAAAAATATAGCAATTGTGTATTTATTACATTATTGTAACCTAGAGATGGGTTCATCTATTATTGTCATATTTTTGTATTATGTTAATTGTTGGTTCATAATTTAAGCATCTTAAGTAAAGACAACTCATATGATGTGGTTACCTTTTTTGTTGTATGGCAAAGAGCAGATACAGGGTTTAAGTAGGACTGATATTTAAAGAGGAAAGTGTTAGTTTTTGTGCCCTTGACCAGTAAGATTTATAATAAAATACTATTAAAGATCATGGATATAGTTTTAAAGTACCGTGTCTCCAAAGACGTCTGGCGGTCCTTATTATTCTTCAGCTCGTTGATAACATTATCATAATCAGCAGGATCGCATATAACAGTAACTCTATCATGATTTTTAGCAGCAGCCCGTAATAAGGTTACTCCACCAATGTCAATATTCTCAACCGCGTCCGCAATGGTGACACTGGGCTTGGAAACGGTCTCAACAAATGGATAGAGATTGCACACGACGACACTAATCATATCGTACTTCTGGCGTTTGAGATCAGCTTGATCAGAATCTGTCAACCTGCAAAACAAAAGAAAAATTCAGTTCCTTTAAATTTTTGGATCTTAATTATACCTAGTTTACTTCTACTCTCTGTCCTCCCTTAACAAGATATTTTAAGACACAGACAGACAAAGTAACTTAGTACACAATATGAAGTGAATTGGTTTCTTAGTTAGGGCGAGAAGAAACAAAAACTTAAAATTTTGAGCCTTAATAGAATTATGGATTTTTAGCAGTTAATTATTATACTAAAACACATTCTACAACCAATCAAGAATATAAGACATTGGATTTAACCTGGACAAAATCCCGGCATGTACAGCAGGATGCAGGGACTTAACTCTTCCTCCAAGCATTTCTGGTGCCCCAGTAATATCTGACACATCAAGGACTTTGAGACCAGCATTGCGGAGAGCTGTCGCCGTACCGCCGCTGCCAACCAGAGTTAAACCGATTTCGGAGAGGTACTTTGCAAGAGGCAGCAGTCCTGATTTATCAGAGACGCTCAATAGTGCTGAAATTTAAATTATCAATATAAAAAACAAAGCAACAGTTGCAAGACAATGTTTCATATAGATTAGAAATGGAAGCATAGAGAGTTGGCATTTCTGACATTACAAATAAACTATTTTCTTTGTAATTACTTGAGGAGTAATACATTGTGAATAGAATTAAAAGTGACATACATATTTGCATATTTTTTTGTCCATTCTATATTTTATAATATCGTACACAAACGTTACTTTCATTTCTTGTTCTATTAGGCACACTTTTTATGGTTCAAAAAAATTGTTACAGTTGATTGATTATTGCCGCAGTAATAATATTGTAATGAAATACACTAAGCAACAAAGAGCACCAATATACTGAGTTAAACAGTAATATTCTGATCCTTCTTCATATGTAAATAGTTGATCATACTCCAATTCTCTGATAGACTGAATCAATTTTTATTGGATTCAAACGTAAAACTTCTGACCTTGAAAATCTTAAAGCCCACCAGTAGGCTATGTATTTATTATTCATTGCTAAAAATTTGTGAGCATAAGCAGCTTTTTGGAGCACTACAACTCAAAATTTTAATAAAAACATAATATCACAAAAATATGCTTACCGCTGTTCTGTCCATGCCAATTGCAAGAAAAATAATGGTATTTGAGATATTAATTTTGAAATAATATTTATAATGAAAGCAGAGTATAAAACATAATTTCTTACCTAAAGTTCCATTAGCCATCTTGATAGTGCCCAAGTTTATTTTCGACTGGTTCTAAAGTCAAACAACAAGGTTCAATATCACTCAACCTTATACAGGGGTCCTGATAACATAAATAAGCTTCTTAACAGGGTTGAGAAAAACATAATTTTTTATCCGACATTATTATTAATTTTATATGTTTTGTGAAAAGTTAAGTACCATGGATTAAGTATTTATTACCATTATCACTTAAACAGCATTAAGTTTTTATAATGGGTTTTTAATTAAACTGTATGTTTAAATGTAAAAGGTAATCAGTTTAAAGAAGTCAATTAAATTCTGTATAATAAATGTCTTATTTCTTAAATATTAAATGTTATATATTTAAGGATATTTAAAATGAATGTTTTAATATTTATGTATCAGCCCTGCAAAATTAATATGATGAAAATACTGATGTAATGGTCATTAATCCCTCGGAAATTAAAATAACAACAATACACTGATAAGAGTCAACCAAATTACAATAAATTCCATTAGATAAATGTATAGTTTAACAATATAAATATTTAATAATAATAATTAAATTTAATCATAAGTTTAGTAAGTAATAAGTTAAGTTGTATCAAACAAAATTTTAAACAGCTTGGACATCTACTTCATCTCTTTACTGTGCCCACAGTTATGTTAAAAAATACACAAACTTTCATGGCAAATTTAAAACAAATTGAGTAAGATAGTTCGTAATCCAAGCTATTTTAAATTGTTTTATGTAAGTCATGAAATTTAATTCATTTTTGTACAATTAATAGAGCTACTTTAAAAGATGATGATTGCATATACATATATTATATTTTTATTATTTAGCTCAACAATATTTTGTAGGTTTTTCGAACTTGCATATTAATTTTAGGATTTCGAGTTTTCTTAGGCAACCAGTTAGAAAACATGTTGAAACCAGGTTATAATTTCTAATGAGAAACTATTTCCGATGTTCTTTACTCTTAACTTAACTTTAACGCCCTAAGAATCTTATAAGAGAAATCTCTATCAAATTTTAACTATAATTTAGCAACTTTAGTTTAAACAATATCTGAAACAACCGCTATCAGTATGTATATAGTATTTATATGAGTATGAATTAATTTAAATAAAAAACACTTGCGCATATATTTTTTACAGAAAGATATAATGAAAATTATTAATAAGAAATAATTCTTACTTTTAATCGCCGTTAAGCAACTCGCAATTGAAATATATAAATACAAACGCTCAGCGATACTTTTAGAAAGTACTACACAAGTACTAACTATTTTTGACAAGTACATATACATTTTTCTTACCACCGTAGATAAATATTAAAAGGAACACCACGCACATATCTGTGGATCCACAGATAACAATAAATATGTTACTTGTTTAACTAACATATATTTTATTGTTGTGGTTGAAGAATGAAACGTGCAAAACAAATTGTAAAGTTGAAAAACTTGATTCACTGATAAAAGCTATAAGCTATCATAAAAAGGTCAAAGCAGGGTAATCTCTACTTACTACTACTGAAATTGAATGACAACAGTTAACTCGGTACTGTGTAGGACGAACGAAATCAAATCGTGCGCACCTTCGTTATTAATATTTTAATTATACATAGTATGTATTTTTTTAGAGGTACATACTTTAAATAAAATTTATAATTAGTAAAATACATATTGCATAGTTATATGGAACTTTTAGGTTTGTTGTCTCATCCAAATGGCGAAACATTTAAAGGCTTTGATTGGACCATCCATCCTAAACTCGGATTTATCCAAACTATATGAGGAATCTCAAAAACTTTTGGATAATGGAGCAGATTACTTACACTTGGACGTCATGGATGGTCATTTTGTTCCTAACCTAACATTCGGACATCCCATTGTAAAGTGCCTTAGAAGTAAAATAAAAAATGCCTTTTTTGAAACACATATGATGGTTTCAAATCCGGAACAGGTATTTCTATGTTAAAATTCTAATAAAAACCAATAAAAATAAAGAAATATATATCCTATATATATAATGTTTATTTTTCAGTGGATCTCACCAATGGCTGATGCTGGTGTTAATCAGTATACATTCCACATTGAACCTGTCAATGATGTTGAAGACGTCTGTAGAAAGATTAAGGAAAATGGAATGAAGGTAATATTTGATGCTTGCAATGTTTCAGATTGATGAACACAAAGTGAAAATTATTTTCTTTAGTTTATGCATATTGTTAATATAACAACAACATGATACATATCTTACAATGCTAAGGGAAAACAATACTTCTCAACCATCAATTATTGTTTGGAAACTTTATGTTTTAGGTTGGAGTTGCTATCAAACCAGGAACTCCTGTATCTGAAGTAGAAAAATACATCTCATTATCAGATATGGTATTAATAATGACAGTGGAGCCAGGTTTTGGGGGGCAAAAATTTATGGAAAACCAAATGGAGAAGGTTAAATATTTGAGAGAACACTATCCTCTTTTAGATATTGAAGTTGATGGTGGTGTAGGTCCTGCTACTATTGGATGTTGTGCAGATGTAAGAACATTTTATCTTTTATTTATATTGACATATAAATCTTAAATAGGTGGCTTTCAGCTCAACATATGTGCTATTGTTAGACTTGGATTGTCCAAACAACACATGCCCAGTCTTGCATTATTTCAAAACATCTTGGTAAAAAATTCTGATAAGCTGTTATTGGCTCAGTAATACTCATCTAAGGCTGGTTTTAATACTAACATCACATAACTTTCTGGTGGTCTGACAATCATAATTCTATTTCAGGCTGGAGCAAATATGATTGTATCTGGAACAGCTGTTATTGGGTCTCAAGATCAAGCAGCCACGATCAAACTACTCAGAGATACTGTAATAGAATCAATAAAATGAATTAATCTTATATGGATCATGTTATATATGTATTGTTGCAACAATGTGGGTGGGGTCAAGTTAAATATATTTTATACATTCCTAGTTAAGGTGAAGCAAATAAAAGAATTTGTTATTTCTATTCACTTTTTAATCAAATTTACTTAAATCTATTTTACTCTCAGTTGTTGAGGCAGAATTATTATTCTGTTGTACGGGATACAAACTACTAGTAGCAATTCCTCCTTCTTTGAACTCCATTGGTGCATTATTGGGTTTTAGCTTAGCTTTAAGACTGGTTAATGCTATTAGTATTGCCTCCTCTGTTCGTATTGTTCTAGAACCTTGGTTTGGTAGAACATTAACATAGTGGTTAAAAAGTAGGCTTGCATCGTCTACTTGGAGTAGTTCATCACTCTCTAAAGCTGCTTCTATGCCATGTAGTCCTCCGAATACTATTAAAGCATGGTTAAATGTTACCCCTTTGTTAGGCATATCATCAATAGGTGTTCCTTTGTCAGAAGTCCCTATAGTTAGATCATAGCTGAAAATTATAATCCTTTATATTAGTTATTAATTTATGACCATAAAACTTGTTATTTTTTATTTTAAATAATGTCTTTTAAAGTTTTATTTTTACATCTTTAATCCAGCATTATTAAGTAAAAGATTGGGCTCACATAGTGATAAATAAAGAATATAAGAAAATCAACAATTACTGTTGTCATAAACATAGTATATTATGACATTGCTTATAAAGCTATAACTTACCTATCTTTGTAAGGACACTGAGTAAATATTTGATTAAGGTTATTTGCTATTCTCACAGTATAGCCCCAATAAACACCAGTTTCAGCCCTTGGAGTAGCCAAACTAACAATTTTGCCTTTTAACTTTTTGCTTCCTTCAGGTGTAGGGATCATTTTCACTGTCACTCTTATACCAGGATTTAGAAGTTTGTCTGTCGATACATCTTTCAATAGGCCTACATTTACCTGAGAACCTTTTCCCGGCTTTACTTTCTTGTTCATTGTTATACCTTCCCTGTAAATTAACATTTTAATATGAATAACAAAGAAAATATTGTTTGTCATTAATACTGACTGTTTGTCTCACCTGAATTTAAAATCATTTGACATTCGTAAATGATGTGGTGCGTCTAATGGATTCAAGAGCCCTGCAAACTCTAAATCCTTATGAATTGGGAAAAAATGTTTCCTCAAATATTGTGGACATTCCAAGTATTGCAAAATTCGAGCCAGTTGAACGCAACTTTTTCGTGCCACTACAACCCCATCCGCATCCTCTAACTTAGACTTCTTTGTGTTTAATTTTTCACCAATGTCATCAAAGACAATAACTTCATCAACACAGAAAACACAAGCAGCTCTTGCAATTTGGCCTGCTAAGTAAGTTCTTAGTTCTGCTGATTGAGCATTCTCCAAAATCGAACCCGGAACAGCTATACTTATTGTGGAAATCTCGGAAACTTTTTTCTCTTCTTCACATTCTTCTTTAACTTTCTGTTCTAACTCTTTTTGTAGTAACATTTTCTTTTCTCTCCTTTCAATTTTTTCTTCATTTCTTTGCCGTTTCAATGCTTTCCGTTCTTGGTTAACTTCACGCCAACTTTTACCCGGTGGCTTTTCGGGTGTTTTATGTACAGACATGTTCTAAAATGTGTTTATACAAAACTAAGTTTATATCCAGTACCTTTACTTTATTATTTATATGAAATCAAGTAAGTAGTTTTCTTTTATAAAACGCAGTATATTTCAATGTTAAAATACCTTTTATAAACACTAACCAAAACTACCACATTGCGTACACAATATGACTTTGACAGATTGACAGCTGACATAGGTCCAATGCTCTGCGATGTGACAGTAAAGAAAAAGTATTTTTTTATTTACATATTTCATGACGGCTGACCTGTGAATCGTAAATATGGCGACTTACGTTCAAACTACCGGTTTGAAAGTACGCATGGCAAATTTATATGATTTTTTTATTTATACTATATTATTAACGCCTTAATCTCAGGAACTACTGAATCTAAATTAAAATTGCATACTGTCTATAGTTTACGCGAGTAGTACACATTTAAATAAAACCCTTTAACGGTTTATAACGCGATATATTTGTTAAACTTATTTGAAAATGATTTTTAACTTCGGCCTGACGTTTCGGATGCTTTGCAGCAGCCATGGTCTCCCCGTAAAGTTAAACTTAACTTAACTTTTAGTTTAACTAATATATCGCGTTTTAAACCGTTAAAGTGTTTTATTTAAATTAAAATTTTATGTTTATTGGACCATTTACCTTAAAGCTATTAAACAACAGGCTGCCATTTGGACAAATGGAAATGTAGAAAAAACTGAGAGAATTACTAAGGTGTGCACTGCAAAAATGGTTCAACGGACGGGACCGGAAGACCTTTTGAGTAACATCTAGTATTTATTATGACCCTAGAACTACGGACGAGCTAGGGAGTTTTATCCCGATTTATTTAAACTGCAATGTAAATAGTTAAAAAAAAATCATTTTAATGTAGATTATTGCGTTACTTATTCTTCTTCATTAGCGAAAAAATACATACAAAAACTATTAAAAAATTCTTTTTTAATAACACGTACTTATAAATTTGTGTCTTTTAATAATTAGAGTTCTACATATTACTCAAAGTACAAATAGTAATAATAAAATGGACATAAAATTTAGTAAGTAGATTTGTCCTTAACGGAAAACGCTTATAACGTGTCATACATTGTTGTAATACACGAGCGTTATCCGTTTCGATTGATTGCTTTTTTTTATATTAAATACAGATGGGTATATCCGAGAGTCATAAGATGAGACATTATTAGATGAGGAATCTTGTTGCAATGTTTTTTGCTATGTACAATTTTAAAGATTACAGTCTGTCCTCTCACACAAGTTTTTTGTTTGTTTGGGTATGATTTAAGATATATTTTTGAGAAAAAGAATGGATATTTCGGTTTTAAGAAAGTCAATTGCGCGAACTACTGTTCTTCAAACGAAATATAGCAAAATATAACATAGTATATAAATACTGTCTATAGTTTACGCGAGCAGTACACTTTTTAATAAAACACTTTAACGGTTTAAAAAACGCGATATATTAGTTAAACTTATTTGAAAATGATTTTCAAATAAGATTAACTTTAATATATCGCGTTTTACTTTTTATTACAATAACATGTGTAAACACTGATTTTATAAAAAAATATTATTTAAGCTAAGGGATAGGCATAGAAAATATTCCCGACTACAGTTTAACTAAGTATCTTAAACAATTTACAATGGTGGCTGTGGGCAGCGACCTTTTATGTCCCCAATGTGAAAGATTCCATATCCTCGATGAATACTCCATGTAATCAAAGTTAAGTCAAAAAGTTGCCGAGTGAATGATGAATAAACAAGAATAAATGATGGAACAAATATAAGATTCTAAAAAGAAACTGGAAGGTTTAAAGGGACACAGTGAGAGTTGTATAACCCAATGTCATCTGAAATGACTGAAAATAACAAGGATCTATAATATTTTTTAGCCATAAATGTGGCAAACGTTACTCAGGATTATTGTAGCTTTCAAATGGATAAATAATAATTCTAATCAACACAGTAGTTTATTCATTACTAAAACAGAACAATACAAATCTACCTAATTGTAATATTAGTGTAGATAAGATGTAAGTAAGCTTTATGACTTTTGCTATTTGTTCACTTTTAAAAAGGCGTAAAATTTTATATATCATAGATACAATTTAAATGAAGGAAATGGGTTTAAATTTTATGGGTTATGATAGTAACGTTTAAAAGATACAATATCCTATATTACATTTCGCTTGAATGGAGAAATACTGGGCGGTTCTTTATATAAACAAATGTCAAAATAAAATATTTTGACATTAACCTCGTAAAAAACATTCATTGGTAAAACAATACGTGGAGACCACATTATCTTTACCAAAGAATCAGGTTTTTTATTCGAAATGTAGTAATCGTAGTCCCAACTTCAATATTTTATGTTAAAAATAGGATACAAAATTTATGTAGTATGTATTTTGACAAATTTTGATCGTCGCCAAATACCAACTGACGACGAAACAGGCGGCGCTAGAGTAGCAGTTTTATCCTTTGACGTCAGAGACACCCTCCATCTTTAGTCTCCCCGTAACCACGGCTGAAAGTATCCGATATGTCGTTACGCATTTTAAACCGATATAGTGTTTTATTTAAAGGTATACTACTCGCGTGACCTACAGACAGTATTTAAATTTTGACCGCCTCCATAACACGAGAGCTTTTGGGTTTGAATCCCAGGGAAACGATAAATTGTTTTGGTTAGGCCGGGCGAAGTCTATGGTACCTACTACTTCCCTGCGTATAACAACGGAAACCAATATATATTCACTATTAAATTACTATAGATTTAACTAACTAAATATTTAATTTTAAATTATATAGTGCATTAATGTGCAGTAACATGTAAAAAGAATTACATTTTTGAACGTAAATAAATATTTGCTTAGAATATAAGAAAACCGACTTTGTTGGCCACAAAAAATGCTATATGTAGCAGTAGATTATTTATTATGCTCAACAATATCTATATAATTTAACTCTAAATAAAATGTTTGTTTAGTTTCCACGCTACCGTCTTCCCACTATCTTGTCTCTATTTTCTCATCATGGCACCTGAAATAAAATATACTAAGGTCAGTGATAATTTTAGACACTAGTATTTATTAAAATAAAACACTTTAAAAGGTTTAAACGGGAAATCTATCAGTTAACTTATTTATAATTAATTTAAATTCAGATACTTTGTACGACGCTTAAACTACATACAATATTAGTATTGTTGAAAAACTCCTAACTTTAATTAAAAAAAAATAGTACATATTTATAAAAATTGGTAAAAGAACCGACGTCAAGAAATTATAATATGTATAATTGTAGCAGTATAATATAGCACATAGTCAACTAATTGGCTAAAAATAAGGTCTTTGCCATTGGACATTTTATTGACGAATTTTCGATATTCCGACAACCCATTTAATTTTCAGTTTTCCAGACTAAGTACAACGTTTCAGGAAAATTTTAAATTAATTAGAACCATATTGAACTCGCTGGGAATCAAACGTGCGACCCGTTGATTATTAGCCATATATTGCTACCATAAACCAGCGCAACTACCACCACCAAATACCATGTCATTCTTCAAAATTATTTTTCTAAATAATCTCTTCTTTTGAAACCGTTAAAAGTGTTTATTTTTTTCATACTTAAAAGGCTATGTCAATTTTCAATTGAGGAATTTAATATAATAATTGGTAACTATTAACATTAATATTATAATTACTATAATTGCCGCGTTTAAGTTAATCTACTACTTCTATTGTTATTGTCGATCTGTAACTGTTTTTATGCAATTATTCGAGGAAAACTGTTTTATTGCGCAAATGACCATATTTAGCAATAACACTTATTTAATTTTTAGTGCAATTTCGAACAAAGACGCATTTATCTTAAGGAAAAAGATGTATTATATGTATTGATAAAATTCTTTTAAATGAAACACTGATTAAAACCGTGTCCACGGCTTAACATAATTCTTAACAGAGTCAGTGCCCGTACCCTAACGATAGGTTCCTAACGATTCGATTAACGAAGTAAAAATTGTTATGTTTAGCAGTTTGAAGCAACGGCCCTTGAAATAAAAAGATTAATTTGGTGGTTAGATAGTGTTTGATGAAGTCAATAATAGAGTGCTTCAAGTAGATGAGTAAAGTAACTAAAAAAGAAAAGGAAGAAAGTAACGAAAGGGAAATAGTTGTTTTTTTTTTTATTAGGAGAAGGGCAAGATTCAAACCCACGACTCAAACGATCGTTGCTGCTGTTCTAATTGGTGGTGTTTTTTTAAAACCAAATAGTGCGTGTCATATATTACTATATATAACATGGACTAATTATTGATTGTCAATACGGGAAAGCCATTAAATGAAATTAGATTTTCACCTATGTCCTCCGGTAATATGGAGATTGGTATTTACCAATAAATGTGCGAATTTATAGCAACCAAACTAGTTCCCGAAGAACATTTTTATTTATCATTAATGCTCTAGCATAACAATTTATCAAAATATTCTGGCAACAGATTTTCATTAACAACGAATGGTTCGATGCTGCGAGCGGAAAAACATTCCCCACTGTCTGTCCTCATGATGGAAAAGTCATAGCTAATGTAGCCGAGGGTGATAAAGTAAGTAATTTTTATCATGAAAAACTTTAATATTTTTATATGTTATTGCACATGAAGGCACTATATAATTTAAAAATCGAAAATAAATTGAAAAAATTTTCGACTCGGGCAGGACTTGAACCGACATCGTCAGCGTTCCGTGCTGTTGAGCAAATTGTGTAATAAGTAACGCCACATGTTAACGTGTAAATGTAAAACAGATATAAGAAAAAAGTGAAACAAGTTTCCTTAGTTTATATCAAATATATTTACACCAAATTTAATTCAATACTGTTATAATTTTTTCACATTGTTAAGACTAATATTGTTTATATTTTCTGGAGAGATTACCCCTTACGGCAAATCTACAGTTTTTAAAATGAATTGGAAATTACATTTGCTATTAGACGTAAAAACCGTATTACAAATATGAACTATGTTAAGAATTTATTCGAGGATAAATTCTTTTAACATATTACGCACGTCACATTCTTTTATAACGTATTGTAAGTTTCATTAACGTTGATTATTCAATCATTAAGTAACAAAATAGTAAAAAAAGTATATAATTTTTTTTTTACTATTTTGTACATTCTGTCTCTAAGATTACGTTCCTCTTGGCATCTTGGGTTACCAAACAGTCGATGTTTGGCAGAAAGAAGCATAGTCGCCGAGAAGCCTGCTGCCTGATACAATTCTTAAGTCGAGTAATCTAAAAATATTTGAAATAGTTTAAATTAATATTTGCTGTCCCATTTCAGGCAGACATCGACTTAGCTGTGAATGCAGCGAAAAAAGCTTTTCATCGTAACTCCGAGTGGCGACTTTTAGACGCTTCAAAACGGGGCAATATTTTTTACAAGTTTGCTGATCTTGTCGAGAGGGACGCTAAATATCTAGCCGAACTTGAAACTATCGACAATGGCATGGTCTGTACTCGTATTCAAAGTATTTTGGCCACTATTCCGGACCGAATAAGATATATTGCCAGTTTAGCTGATAAGAGTGAAGGGACCACTATACCATTAGGTAATGCTATGTTTAATGTTTCTAGGTAACCCTAAAAAAAACACATTTTGTGTTCGTTTCACTGATCCGTTCTTTCACAGGCAAATAGTTCTTCTATCTTCTGTGCCCTGCCCGACCGAAACAATTTTTTGTTTCCCTGGGATTCGAACTCAGGACCTCGCGCGCTTAACGCAATAGGCATTGCGTTTGCGTAGCCAAATGGTTACACGCCATGCCTTGCATTGTGTTAAGCGCGAGAGATTGTCTACGTCACCCTAAACAAATATAATTATACACGTAATTGCCATCCTACCACTAATAAATAATAAAACAATAGATTGAATTTAAAATAGTTTCTTTGACTTTTAAAGCTTGGTTATAGCGTACACTTGTGCATAATTAAAATAGCGAACACCACAAATCTTACACGTATTTTCTTATAACTTTATAAATATTTATTATATAATATATATTTAATATGATCTTGAGGAACATAACACGAGAGTTACTTTGACTTAAATATTCTAGTTTCCGCGTTACTTACATATATAATCTGTAATTTGAAATTCTCAGATGGCGACACATTCTGCTACACTCTGAAACAACCCGTTGGTGTGTGCGGGCTAATTTTGCCATGGAACGCTCCTATTCTGATGTTCATTAATAAGATTATAGCGGCTTTAGCAGCAGGTAATATATGCGCCTTGTCGAAGACAAAAAGCGCTAGTAATTATAACATTCCTGAGTTCTTAAAGCATCGCTTATCGGCTTTAATATTTCCTACTTTTTAAAATAAAACACTTTAACGGTTTAAAACGCGATGTATTTTAGTTAAACTTGTTTGAAATTTTTAACCAAATACCAACTTCGACGGAACAGATGGCGCTCGCGTAGCAATTTTTACTTGACGTCAGAGTCATCCTCCATCTTTAGTCTCGCCGTGACCACGGCTGCTGCTAAGCATCCAAAACGTCGGGCCGTCGTTAAAAATAATTTTCAAACAAGTTAAATAAAATATATCGCGTTTTAAACCGGTAAAGTGTTTTATTTAAATGTGTACTACTCGCGTAAACTACAGATAGTATTTATTTCCTGCTTCATGGCCAATTGTGCAGTTCTGTATAGCCAGTCATAAAGATTCTTTTGTTACCAAGAAGAAGTTGCCGAGACTAAAATTGGAAGACATTAATATATATCCTGATCTGATCATTGATCTTTGTCTACTGTTATAAAAACAACATTACACCAACCTACTTACTTCTTTTTTCTTACTTTTATTACCATGTATTATTTTCAGGCTGTACCGCTATTGTAAAGCCAGCAGAACAGACTCCACTAACTGCCTTGGCTTTAGCTGCTCTGATGAAAGAGGCTGGTTTGCCACCAGGGGTGGTAAATGTGGTGCCTGGCTATGGCGAGACCGCAGGAGTTGCTCTCACACATCACCCGGATGTCGCAAAGATTTCTTTTACTGGCTCCTTAGAGGTAACGCAATCACTAAAGCTTCTTACAATAAAAAGCCAATATTACGTATTGATTGACACATTTTATTAGCATGAACAATGTAAAGAAACCTTGGAAATGCTAATTAGATTAATAAAACACTTTAACGGCTTAAAACGCAATATACAGTAGTTGAACGTATTCGAAAATTATTTTTACTACGGCCCCCGTCTCCCTGTAACCCCGTGACCACGGCTGCTAAGACCCCTAGTTAAAATAATTTTCAAATAAGTTAGTATATATCACGTTCAAACCGTTAAAGTGTTTTATTTAAATGTGTACTACTCGCGTAAACTACAGACGGTATTTCTTGCTAATATCACAAAAAGAATATGTTAGCTTTAAACAGCAATATTTAATCAAAACAAAGCGTAAGCCAACATCTACAAGCTGGATATGTTGGTATTTGTTATTTGAAGTTCGCTTTATTACGTCCAGAGGGACCAACAAACACGGGGTTCACTCGATGGAAGGATGAAATATATGAAATAGCCAAGCCCTTATAACATCTAAATAGGATACGATCTATTCGGCTTGGGAGATTCGAAAATCCACGGACTAAAACCAACACGAAATTACACTTTACAGTTTTTCCATTTGTGGTTCGTGACCCAGCCAACCCTGACTTGAAATTCCCATAGAAAACTTTTAAATGTCCAGGTTCCCAGGCGGAGTTTAAAATTATACACGTTGGACCTGGTGGGGATAAACCCATAATCCGTTGCTTATTAGAAATTATTTATTATCATTGGACTGTCAAGTTGAATAGTATTTATCTGTTTATAGGTCGGAAAATTAGTCCAAAAAGCTGCTGGAGCAAATAACCTGAAGCGAGTCACGCTGGAGTTGGGTGGGAAAAGCCCTCTGGTTATCATGAATGATGCAGATTGTAATTATTATAAGTCTTTTTTTAAGTAATTCTTGTATAAGATGTTTTTTGCCGGGTTCATTTTAAAATTATTTCTTGTTTGATCAACTTTCTTCATGTGAAAAAAAAACGAGGATTTTTTTTTTGTGGGTTGCCGTTGCGTAAGCTACGAAAACGGTTACGGGTACGAAAAAGATACACAAAAAATATCTATGAGCGAATGATTATAAATGATTTAAAAAATGTCCGCGACAGTAGATATATGTCTATCCTTCATGATAAATTTGCGAGAACGATGAGACGCGGACGACGTCGTCGGTAACACCTATAATTTTTAATGGTGTGAAGGACGTCAGCAAAAATAAATTTTGACGCCCAAAATAACTATGAAGTCGCTGACTTAGCTAGTGCTTTATATTTGCACTATACAGTTTCACATTTTCTTCAATATATTCAATGCAAGCATTAGTTATTGCTGTAATTGTAGGTATTTGGATCACGACAGGAAATTCTTTATTTTCAGTGCAATCTGCTATTCAATACGCTACTCTGGGGTTGTTTTTGCATCAAGGCCAAATGTGCATTGCTGCATCTCGAGTATTTGTGCAGTCCGGAATATACGATGCGTTTGTTCAGGCCATGACGACAGCCGCAAGATCGCTAAAAATTGGTAACCCTGCAGAAGTTACATCCCAGTATGGACCACAGGTAAGAACCCCCCATAAAACCTACCCATATAACATTTAACTCGATGCACTGTCGACGTACTTTGGTTTTAGATAATCGAAAATCCACTGACTGACACCGAAACGCGATTAAAGTTCACGGCATTTTCATCTGTAAACGGTAATTCAACCCAGACGGAATTTTCTATACTCCTAATTACCTCCTTAATACCGCCCATTTTATATCCAGAATTCCAGAAAACCAAAATGTTTCCGAAAAAACATACATTTATAACAAACATGTTGGACCCTGTCCAGATCGAACCCAGAACCCGTTAATTATTAGCCATAAATTGCTAATATTAAACCAACATTCAGTTAAACAAAGAAATCCCCCCCCCCCCTTTATAGTGCTTACGTCATACTACAATAACCAATGCTTTCAATATTCCTATCGACTGAAGGAGGCCAGTAGGGTGACAGTTCTACCTATGTTACGATTAAATTGAACCCTTTACCTGCGACTTGTCTGCGTCATTTCAAAAGCCTGACCTTTAAAGATTTATTTTTAGATGAAAAAAAAATGTTCTCAGATGATGTAGCATATTTTCGTTGCAAAACATTGCGATATCAATGACTGGCATAGGACAAAGTCCAAAAATTTGATAATATTTTTGTTACGTTATCCTATTACAATTATCACGTACGGCGATGTTGGCAGATTATTAGGAAATTGTGTATTTTAACTTTAAAAATATACTTCTTTGTAATAATGCCTTGGTGTATTTTATTCGACCTAGCGCTCACCCAATTAACGAGTGTGTTTACCTAAATTACTTAAAATAGCAAAACCAAATACATCCCCTTCCTTTTAAAAATACACTATACTCTATATAAATGTATGACGTAATGTTCTGCTCAGAACATGAAATGTATTATCAAAAACTATGTTCATTATTATGTAATTATATATGTATAATTCGTATAAGATGACCAACCACATTAATATGTACATGGGAAAAACCTGTTCCTCTTGTCTATAGGGTTACAGGTACATTTGCGTTTGATCTTGCCCGAACAAAACTATTGTTGTTTCTACTCGAACTCGGGACTTACCGAGTCAGGAAATGCGTTTAACCATTGTGATATGTAGGTAGCATGTTACATATAGTCAAATAATATATTAATTAATATAGTCTACTTAACTAATAAAAAAAACACATTTATAGGTCGACGAAGAGATGATGAAAAAAATTCTATGCTATATTGAGAAGGGGCAAGTAGAGGGAGCCAAATTAGTGATTGGGGGCAAACGAATAGGTACACAGGGGTACTACATAGAACCAACGGTCTTCGCAGATGTCCAGGACAATATGACAATTGCTAAGGAAGAGGTAAAGTCCTTTTTTAAATTGCTCGTCTTTTTTTTTCAAATATATCTGTCCTATAGGAATCCTATCCACCTTAGGAATATGAAGTGATGGTAAAATCACTTCGATTTCCATACTAAGGCAATGTTAGATAAAGGGTCTTCTTTCAATTTGTCTGTTGAGTGGGACGCATGTGCTTAGTTAAAGGATAACCTTTGTTAGTTTTAAAAGCGCATGGCCAAAACACATTAAAAATAACTTTATATGTATCTTCACTTTCATTGATGAAAGCATAAATAATAAATGAAAGCGTCTTTAATCACTGCGTTAATAGGTATACGTATAAATGTATACGAGTGTGTCCTATAAAATAACGCATTTTATTAAATCGGAGCACCATTTTAAACATCTCCGTACCCGTTATAATATTAAAACTTCTCCAATACTAACACAAATATTGTAAAGCTGAAGAATTTGTTTGTTTACTGCGTTAATATCAGGAACTACTGGCTCGAATTGAAAAAATATATTTGTCATAATGGGATCATTTATCGAGAAAGCCATAAAATATCACGCTACAACCAACAGGAGTGAAGAATGATTAACGTGAATAAAACGGGGATATTTATTCATCTTTCACGGTCAAGATACCCAAAAGATACGTATGAAAGAATGATTCCTCTTTAAATGATCTAGCTCTCTTCAAATCGCCTAATATAAGTTTACCTTCACTTCCGGTTATAAAGGAATGTTGTGTTGTGTTATAATTCCAGATATTCGGTCCAGTACAAAGTATCCTAAAGTTCGAAACCTTAGAAGAAGTTATTGAACGTTCTAACGCCTCTCATTATGGACTCGCTGCTGGAATTTTTACTACCAATGTCACCACAGCATTACAATTCAGTAAGCATGTCGAAGCGGGTATCGTTTGGTACGTAATAAAAGAAATATTATTTGAAGATATTAAAGGTTATTGGCATAAACTAAACAGCAACAAATGATACGCAACAAGAATTGAAACAAAAGACATTCGATGGGGGGAATGGCCTAAGAATAGCAAGGATCCTATATTAAAAGCACTAAATCCCCAAAAACTGCTCATCGATAAACAAGAGGACACTGTGAGGACCCAGCTACCTTCTACAAATATCAATTACAACGAAATAAACGGCAATAGCGTAGCACTTAAGGGACACTCTCCATTTTTAGTCCTCTATTACCAAAGCTGCTTAGAAGCATCCACAGGGTCATAATTAAAAATCACCTATAGATAGATTTTAAATTTTTAACTGTGTTCTATTTTTTTGGTATCACTCGTGTAAATTACAGTTAACTAAAGTTATCACCTTATTTATATTATAGGGTCAATACCTATCTTGTCCTGGCACCTCAAGCGCCTTTCGGTGGACGCAAGGAATCTGGTGTTGGTCGTGAAACGTTAGTATTTTTTTCCTTACACTAAATAGCTACACTCGTACTTTGCTCACAATCAAAGTACGAGTGGCCTTAGCTAAATTAATAAGTGCTAAGAGACCATGACCGATTGAAGAAAAATTGTCTTTTGAAAGATCTTTAAAATTTGAAATGAATTGTTAATGAAAATATAAAAGCCATTCAGGAAATAGAACAATGTTTTCCCGTATTGTTTCCTTTATAGACTTCCTTGGCTTTTCCCTTTTTACAGTTCTCCTAATGATTCTAAAAATTAGTGGCTTCTTTGTGGTCCATTGTTTTCTGAATTGCTCATTTCTTTTTACAGAGGTTCAAAATGTTTGGACGAGTATCTGGACGTCAAGGCAGTTACCTATTCTCAGCCTAAAAAGCTGTGATTTTCAAATAAAAATTAAAATATTTTATTTTAACTTAATAAATAATTGCTCGCTCATTTTTTTACCAAATTGATTTTAATAATAAGTTAGTTAGTACTTACAATAAGAGGATTTGCCGCCTAACTGTTTAATTTGTTCGAATATTTATTTTACAATAGAAGGAGACAGAAAAGCATGAGAATTATTTTATGAAAGGTAAAATACCCCAGCCACATGACATCTTAACAAGGTAATGTGTTGATCTAATTGGGTTTTGGATATTTGGAAATTCAAAGACTGACGGCTTTTTCATCTATTGATGTCGGTTCGTGACTCGGACGGAATTTGGATATCCCAACCACGAACTTAACAACCAGGTTTCAGGCGAAGTCCAAAATGTTTCAAAAAATTAATAATAAATAGATTAGGAACATGTTGGACCAGGTAGGCATTGAACCCACCATCCGCCGAATATTAGGCATACCAAACCAAACATTTGGGCACCGACAACTAGAAAAATCTAGTTTGACTCATCTGCCAAAAATAAGAAAATTGAATTCTTAAATTAAAAATCGATTATACATTTAATTGACTTGAACCATCATCCACTGCGTTCCGTGGTGCTCTAACCAATTCAGCTACCGTGTCCGTTTTTTTTATTTATAATCAATTTTTTATTTATCACGTGCAATAAAATGTGAAAATGATTAAAGTTTTCGAATATTGAATTCTTGATCAAGAAAATGTTACTCATAGCAATAGATAATTATTAATTTTCAATTTAGCGTGTATTTAATAACACCTATTTAAAACACACATTGTAATTTTGTACGCATTGCTACGTGTTGTATTATACAACACGTAGCAATGCGTACAACATCGTTGGTATGCCGGAAACATCAAAAACTGGTTCCTAGTTTTCGTCCATTGACCATTTGATATTCGTATGGTTCATTAGTGCGTTTGAAAGCCGGTACGATTTACGTCTCTTTGAAAATTTTGTGTTTTAACATAATATATCAAATTAATTTTTATTTCCCTCTCTGTGATTTGGTTTGTTATTTTAGTGACAATTGTGCGAACTTCTAACAAAAACTTGCTCATCATGCTTTATTAATTAAAAAAAAAACAATTTATTTAATTCAAAATAAATGGCATCGTTGTATTCGAAGGTAGCAAAAAACTATAATTAAAATAATACACCAACGATAGGTTTCAATTTCCGATACGAATGAGACAGTAACCAGTATTTTTTGGTTTTTATCAGTTAGTGATAAAAATAAAAAAAAGTATAGGAGGCAAAAAAGTGGCAACGAAAAATAGTAAATTGCACATTAAGCAAAGGATAGACTAATTTTATCACAAACAATATTTAATTGATTCCTTAATATGTTAAATGTATTTTTTGATTATTGAATTTATCATTATATGTGCTGGTAATAAAAAAGACTGGAAAAAATAAATAAAATAATATTATTTTGTTTTTCCTAAAGAAAGGCTGTGACGAATCTAGTAAATTTATAGTTTGTAGTTTATCCCATGATAGCAGTCGCAGCAGTCCAAAGTGCGGATTTAAAAATAGTAAAGTAAAATACAATTTCCTACATCACTCAAAACGATCGCTTCTAAAATAAAATTCCAGTCATAGGTTTCACAAAGAGACATTTATTGTACCTATGTTATCTGATAACATATCGTCACAGTATAAAATTTGTATAACACGCCGAAAACAATTTAGTATCAGCGCTTCTGTCACAAAATTGACGCGGGCAGTTCTTTAATATAATTTTGTGGAGTGTTAAGGAAAATGGCGCCCGAAATCAAATACACTAAGGTTAGTATAGCTATATGATGTTAGTGTTTATATATTTTTATATAGTGAAATTTATAATAAAATAAAGGTATAAAAGCTATGCGGTTTTACAAACACGATAGGTGTTTAACAAAGCCTTGCTATTACAACCGAATACTTTAATTGTAATTACTTAATTTATGGTATTATTATTAATGTACTGTCATGGAAAAGAAGACGCATAAAAGTTAAGAGTCTAAGAACATAAGGTGAGGATTTCAATCTGTTGATTTCCAATCTGAAGCGAAGCTCAAAGTCGATGTTTTTTTCATCTTAGCTAAATGAAAAAAACATCATCACAATAGACTAGCTAACAAGTACGCCTCTGACAAATAATTAACACGTATAAATACGGCCTTCCCAATAACAAGAACTTGAATATTGAAGAAATATATGTTTGATTTTTAACTAACTGCATATGTAGCTCAGTGTTGACCCGGGTTCAACTCCCGGGGAAACGTAATACATAAATTGTTTCGGAAAGGAAGGGCCAGAAGCTCGACCAAGACATGCTTGTAACTAAAATTAATCGGTGGAAGAGACACGAAAATGTGTAAATTGGTAATATATAAAGAAATGTAAGAAAATATATAAAAAAAATATATATAGTAGTCGAAGTAAGACACTTTGAATAACTTAAATATGAAAACACAAAGAAGTTATCTAGAGATAAAAATAATGAGTACCTAAAAAAAAACAATGTCCATGTAAAAAGGGATAGAGAAGGTTTGGAGATGATGGACGAGACGATAACTTAATTGGTAAAGTAACAGCGCGGAGCGTTGTGGTCCGCGGGCTCCGGTCGCAAAAAATGCATACGAACATAAGAAACGTTACGTACGTATATCATTGTTTTATTTTTATTTAATCTCAAATAATAATAAAATCTATCTCATTTGATTACAATATTATATAAATAATATTGATATTGATTGGCAACGTAATGCACTTCAAATGTTCCTTTCAGTATTTATATTACTTGTAGATAGATAGAATTGTAATCTGCAAGTATGTAGGTACAAATGTAATAATCTGTCAGTAGATAAATAGATTGCTACCTAAATAATATTTCTTGTATATTCTTTAATCTTTAGACATAAATTACTTTTAAAACCCGTTGAATATGTATTAAAGCCGTGAAAAGAAATTTGAATGACAATACGGACAATCTACTGTAACAACGTTGTTAGTCCAGCTTAAACAGACAATAGTTAGGTCAGTATAATAAATGGAATGTGTAAAGAAGAAAATCTCAGTATAAATCTACGAAATCCATCAAGCAGTTTAGGGTCATAAAAATCTAGGAGAATAGGGTTTTCTCTGCAAAATTCGCGGTGTACATGTAGTATTAGAGATAATAAGTACATTTGGCTATTTCAAGTGTCTATTTTATTCATACATTTTATCTATAAGCAAGTAGGCGGTTAGACTAAGATCCAAGGTCAAAATAGGTCGATGGCGCATCTACTTTAGATGTTATATATTGCTGAAATTAAATACTGTCTATAGTTTACGCGAGTAATACAAATTTAAATAAAACACTTTAACGGTTTAAAACGTCTCCCGTGACCACGGCTGCTGCAAAGCATCCGAAACGTCGGGCCGAAGTTAAAAATCAGTTTCAAATAAGTTTAACTAATATATCGCGTTTTAAACCGTTAGAGTGTTCTATTTCAATATTGCTGAAGTTTTTCCTTTCCATCAATAGAGCAATGTAAGCGATAATAAATATATATTTTTATGCCAGAGAAGCTAAGCATGATGTTTTCTTAAGAGGTGAAAATACGCCAGCAATTTTATATTTAATAACGATGTGCTGCTGTCGACATGTCGAAAGTTGTCTTTGGACATCCAGATATCCATAGACGACTTTTCCATTCAAGTCGACAGTCCCTCCGAAACCACGGTTGCTGCAAAGCCTCTGAAACATCGTGCCGCGGTTGAAAACTATTGTAACTAAGTAGACTTACACATTTCGGATTTTAAACCGTAAAAAGTGTTTGAGTTAAAGTCTAGATCATTGAAATCACTAATGGTGGGAATCAAATTTACGACCTTCTGATTATTACTATTAATACGTTGCTACCGTCTGTATTTGTATGGAGATATATATTACACTTGTAGGATGTTTGTATAGATAATATGATACTTATACTTAGTATACAGCCGTTTGCTTTACACGTCTCTAATCTCTCAAATGGGAGCTGGGGCATGCGGAACAAGGGACGTTCTTATTACTCTTAATGTGGCCTAATATTCTCATTACTGTTTATTACGATGTTTTTTTGGCGTTTTTTGCTTTCGTTGGGTTTTTGTCAGTTTTAATTCTTCATTCCATGTTTGCGTACAGCGAACCTTTTTTCATTATTAATGTACTAATGCGTTTGTATGTAAGTTATATATATATATATATAAGGTAAATACGTAACGCCTACCGCTGCAGGGTGTGCGATAGAAGTCCTAGACGTTAGCCGTAACGCGTAACGAAGCGTTAATGTTTACGGTCCTATAATAAATGACGAAAACAGTATTTTAGTTTACAAAAATTGCTATACAAGCTATATGCGAACATTTCAATAATAAGTAAAGCAGTGACACGGTGCACTGATGGTTGTGACTTCGATTTCTGTCTATGTCATGAATTTCTTCAATCTAAAAACCCTTATCAATTAATTTTAGCTCTGCATTATAAAGTCCGATATCTAAATCTATACTAATATATAAAGCTGAAGAGTTTGTTCGTTTTAACGCGCTAATCTCAGGAGCTACTGGTTTGAATTGAAAAATTATATTTATGTCGGATATGCTATGCTAAGAAACAGCGGGAAATGTAGAATAAAATGGGGAAAATTATTCATCTTGATGGATTTCCGATGCGTACGCTGTGAAAACGGTTTTAGATTCCCAAAATTATATACGAGGAAAGAAAGTATATATCTATTTTATAAGATTAACTTGCAAGAACGCCAGGAAGCGACGGGACGGTTAATTTATAAAGATGGAGGTTTGCAAAAACAAATTTGGATGCCCTAACTATTCTACGCGGACGACGTCGCTGGCACAGCTAGTGTAAGAAATAACTATCCTCGTTACAAATGTCTATCATTTCCTTTTTACGGCTTCGATTAATTTTGTGGAAATACTATTAATGCCACCCGAATGACAATTCCGAATTAATATCCATTGTTTTATATTGATAAGGACGTGATCGCAATTTTAATTAAAATTCTGTACCCCAGACATCGTTATTATGTTAAATGTCACTTAATTAAACAATGATAGAACTTTTTGCTATTCAATTTTTTGCAACACAAAAAATAAACAATTTTTAATGAGGAATGAAGCAAGCGGACTTTGACCTTCGTTATTGTATTTGATCAACAGTTGATTAAACATGCTTCAAGATTAGGTGTAAATTCTAATGTAAGACGCAACTTCAAAATAGGTACAATGATTACGAATTCAACGTTTCAGTGTTAATCATTATTTAATTAACTAGAGATGGACCGAGGGTCGGTTTAAGAAGAGCTGTTTAATTCTACTTGAAGATGCTATTTTTTACCTAATGCATTGAAAGCCTTTTAATATTAAATTATTTTACTAAAACAAGAGTCATGAGCAGACCAGGACCATGTGGAGCCGTCGCTACTGGTCACCAAAACAAATTAATATTATTTAAACAGATAAGGAAGCGTGGTAAAAAATGTACTAAATAAACAATTATACAATAGTTTATAAAACGACTGCATCTGTAGCCAAATGGTTAAACGTGTTGCCTAGGATTACGTTTAACACGAGAGGTCCTGGGAATCCCAGAGAAAGTGATCATTCCAGTCGGGCAGGGCACATAAGCCATGGTGTAACATACCAATCAGTGATTCCATTTTTTATAAGACAAATATGAACCGAAGTCCTGCTAAAATCGTATGATATTCGGTTTGGTTTAACATCTAGGCCAACTCTATAACTTACACATGCTTATTTCAACAGCTCTTCATTAACAATGAATGGGTGGATGCTAAGAGCGGGAAGACATTTCCCACTATCGGTCCCCACGACGGCAAAGTTATAGCTAATGTGGCCGAAGGCGATAAAGTAAGTCAATATTATCCTATATGACATGCATAATTGATCAACGTGATTAGTGATGTGTTTAGAGGTAAAATGTATATGATTGTATATATTAATAAACTATTGCTCCAAATGTTTTCTTTTGTGTGAAATTGAGTTTTGATTAAAGCGTGATTTGACTTTCTTTTTGTACTTTGTCAATTTGATTTAAAGTAAACTTTTATGCAGCAAGATTACCAAATATCCCAATGCAAAATAGGACGACAACGCATCTTGTTTAGATATATGGCTGGTCATCAAGTGAAACCCCTGCTTGTCTGTCCTCCTCTATCTTAAAAGAGATCCAAGACACCTTTTGTCTGTTTTGCTGTAAGGTCGATTTTAGATATATTACTAGCGACCATCTGTGGACGTAACCCTATACACAACGAATACCTTAACATAAGAAACGTTCGTTTTGACTATAAAGGTATTCATTTAAAAACAGGCGGATATCGAACTAGCTGTGAGCGCCGCTAAGCGCGCGTTCCACAGAAATTCCGAATGGCGACTCCTGGACGCATCAAAGCGAGGGAAGATCCTCTACAAGTTCGCAGATCTGGTCGAAAGGGACGCTCAATATTTAGCTGAACTCGAGGGCTATGATAATGGCATGATTTGCGCAATGAGTCAGAGAATAACGACGTCAGCGCCAGACCAGATAAGATATATCGCTAGTTTGGCAGATAAAGTCGAGGGCGCCACTATCCCGCTAGGTAATATTTTTACTTTACTTTACAAGTACGAAAATGTTTGTTTCAAAAACTCGTAGTTTACACAATTATATCCAACACGTTTAACTGTTTAATACGTCATATCGACCAAACTAGTTTCTTGAAATACCAACTACGAAGTAACAGCAGACGGTAGTATAACAGTTTTACTTTGACATTAGGAACACCCTCCATCTTCAGTCCCCCCGACACCACCACAAAGCATCCGAAACGTTAGGCTGTAGTTAAAATAAATTGTAATAAAGTTATCTGATGTTTTAAACCGTTAAAAGTGTAGGTACTACTGTTGTAAACTGTAGACAATACTTCGTTCAGTGCTTATATAATCTATAAACAATAGTTATACCATGAACAAAAGATTACTTTATGTCTTTCTGTTTCTGTGATTAAAGACTTTATTTTGAAACCCTTACAAGAAAGTTTAAAGTGTAAAGTAATTTACTCTTTAACAATAACTTTAATTAAGCCGTTCTTACGAAGACATGAAAACGACTGAAGTCAGACGCTCTTTTAATTAGGAACCTATTATCAAACTTAATAATTAATAAGTTACTCAAAAGGGAAATAGAATGTACTACAGCTTTGAACTATTATTAAAAAAAAAACTGTTTTAATAAATGTTTAATTAGATAAATTTATCTAATAGCGAAATTAACTTAAGATAAAAGAAGACGATACGGACGGAACTAAATATCATAATCTTTGTCTGTCTGTCGTGAGTCCTGGTTTACACTCCTGTATCGTCGGTTCTGTAAAACATTTTTAGCTTTTTTTTTATTTCTTATTTGTTCTTATACTTGTAGATGGCGACATATTTTCCTACACTCTGAAACAGCCACTTGGTGTCTGTGGATTGATTCTACCATGGAACGTTCCGATACTGATGTTCCTCAACAAGGTCACCACAGCGTTAGCAGCAGGTACGTTAGACATGCCAGTTTTATAAATCTATAAAGGTAACGTATAATTGTTATTGATATTATGAGATCAAAAGCTTTTTTATATAAAATATTGCGTCCGTTTATTGCAATTTTAATTCCACCTTAAACTGCTTTATAATTTCGACAATTCGTGCAAACTGAAAACTTCTAAACTAGATCCGCTGTTGAACTATTTGGCTTTGGATGTTCGGAAATCCACAGACTGAAATGGAAACGCGATTAACTCCACGTCTTTTTCGTCAGTAGGCGATGGTTCGTGACCCGGATTGAAATTTAATATTCTTACCACCCATATAATATCCAGATTTTGATGATAAGATTTGAGATGAGATGTTTTAGTAAATAAGTTTACCTAATATATCGCGTTTTAAACCGTTAAAGTGTTTTATTTAAATGTTTTAGTATTTTACAAACTTGTAAAGTTTCTAAAATACAAGGATGTATTAAGTTAATTTAGATCAGTTAGTATTCAAAGGTACGCGTTATTACGAAAGTATTCTTGGTTCGCATTTCCAGAATAAGCTAGAGTTACTTGGAGTACTGGGCACAAATTTTTATATTTAGAAACTTTATTCACTTTTGTTATAATCTACATAAGCTGAAGAGTTTGTTTCTTTGTTTGAACGCGCTAATCTCAGAAACTACCGGTGTGAATTGAAAAATTATTTTTGTATTGGTTAGAGTATTTATCGAGAAAGGCTATACGCAGCGCAATGTATAAAACATTAACACACAGCGACAAGATTGATACAGACACATAGTTCCTTAGGTATGGCCTTCACATACAACAAAAAAAATGCAAAGCAAGTAATATTATAACGCAATCATAAATAAATTATGTGCTTTAAATAGATATCAGTTACCAAAATACTTCGGAACTCCGCTTTGATTTCTATTACTTTCGTCAACAAATAATCTATAACTTCCCTTTGATTGGTTTAGTTTTCATTTGACTGTAGCCAAAAGTTCGTACAGGGATTCATTCGAACCGAAGGAAAGATAAGGGTTGTGAAACTCAAACAATGTTATGTTCAGTTTGATGGCACCAGGCCCACGTATTTTCATTTAACCAGTGCTTAGTAGGGTTGCCAGCGTAAGACTCCTAACAAGTTTTGATTCAATAACAATTCTCAAAATTTAATATTTTTTAAACGTGTCATACATTTTTTTCAATGGAAAATCGATTCTTTTAATTCCATCAAATGTAAAAAATGTTCAAGTTATTTATAAAATGGTAAACTCTATTATTTCATCTTTAATTTCTTAGGCTAAAAAGTATGAGACATTGAACCACGGTAGCTCAATTGGTTAGAGCAACAGCATGGAACCCTGTGAATGCCGGTTCAAGTTTCGTATTTAAAAAAAAAATCTAAAATCGGTTTTTAATTTTAATAATAATTTCATTCATATAGCAGATATTTCCCAAATATTCATAAGTGTGCTTTTTCAGGATGCACTGCTGTAGTTAAGCCGGCGGAACAGACACCACTGACTGCTTTAGCGCTTGCAGCGTTGTTAAAAGAAGCCGGATTACCAGCTGGGGTCCTTAACGTGGTTCCGGGGTACGGTGAGACAGCTGGCGTTGCGCTTACACACCACAATGACGTTGCGAAGATTTCGTTTACTGGCTCATTGGAAGTACGTAACATAATATTATAAATCAGATAATAAAGTTTATATTATCAATCTATATATATATATATATATAGGTTTAAACTTTATTTGCGTGTCGTGTATCTTGTAATCTTATAATTTTGATAAAAATAACAGATTTTTATCAATCTCCATGATTATCATATCAGCTGCATCAGCATGATGGTGCATAAAATATGTAGATTGATGTAATTACGTAATACTTGATCCTTAGAGCAAAGCGAAAACATTTTCAGTTAAAAATCTATTTAATAACATTGTGACTCGGTTATTTCATTCCGACGACGTTTGAATTGAATGTGAAAATTGGCCGAGTCATTAGGGCGTTAATGACATTTGTCTTAATAAAACATAAGAAAATCTACTTTGGCAAAACTTTCACAATGATACGCAATTTTTGGCTCGTTGGTAGCAATGTATGGCTAACTATCAACGGGTCGTGGGTACGATCTCTACCGAGTCGAACATTATTCTCATCAATAATGTTACGAAAATATCTCATAATACTATCGAAATTCCGTCTGGGTCAATAACAGACGACCGACAGATGTGATAAAAAAAGTTTATTTGCGTTTCGATATAAGTCAGTGGGTTTTCGTTTATCCAAACTAAAAATCGTATCATCTAACTATATACTTGGGGTATTTTATTTACAATCAAGGAAACCCCACGCCTGTCTGTCCTAATCAATCATAAAAAAATCGAATTTATTAAAAAATATATTTTCTTGCAGGTCGGAAAATTGATCCAAAAAGCTGCTGGAGCGAATAACTTGAAGCGAGTTACACTTGAGCTTGGTGGAAAGAGTCCTCTGGTTATTATGAATGATGCAGATTGTAAGTATTTTATATTATACATATATTGTACTTCTTAATCAGCTCCATGATACCGAATGAAGGATTACCTTTTCAGTGTTATGTTTTAGTTTTTCAACCGAAAAAGTACTAAAAGTAAAACATAACATAAGATAAGACCGAGTTCAAAGATAAGGGTGAAACATAAATATGGATTTTTGCTGTTTATCCTGCCTATTCAATATATTTGTGAAACATGTGTCCACTATTTTCTTACTAAATTTTTACTTCATAAATATATAATATATTCTTTTAGAATATACTGACTAAAAATATTGCTTTGATATGTGTTTGAAACATACATACGCGCACAAACTAATTATGCCCACGACTTTATATTGGGCGTCATTGTTTATTTTGCAAGCAACCTCCTTGATTTTATAAATTAAGGCTGTTCCCGTTTGTTCTTGCAAGTTAATCTTAAAAGATAGACAGGGGAGGAGGTGGCAAAAACAAAGTAAGACGCCCAAAATAACTTTTTTATTCGGACGAAAACGCTACCACAGCTAGTAAACTATATTTTTTTTCATTCATAGTGGAGTTGGCAATAAAATTCGCTGCATATGGAGTGTTCACGAACCAAGGGCAGATATGCATCGCTGCATCTCGTCTCTTTGTGCAATCCGGAATCTATGATAGGTTCGTACAAGCGGCAGCGGCTGTCGCCAAGTCGCTTAAAATTGGCAACCCAGCTGATTCTAGTACGCAACATGGCCCGCAGGTATGTGAAAAAATTAGCGGCATTAAAGTTTTCACTGTGCAATAAGACGCTTCAAAAAATTCAGATAATAATTTATGTAACGTAAAAACACTAATTACGGTACAATATTTCAACGTTAAGTATAATATTGTTTAAAACTACAAATATAATTTTAAGACGGAGAACCATTTTGCAAACAAACACAACGTGTCCGTTTTATAGATCATTTCAACACGGAACTACTACAATAATAACGTTCCATTATACTCGAACTCAGCTACTCGTGCCCGATATTATAATAAATATCTATATCTATACTAATATATAAAGATGAAGAGTTTGTCTGTTTGTTTGAACGCGCTAATCTCAGAAACTACGGGTTCGAATTGAAAAATTCGAGGAAGGCTATAAAAAATTGCCCTGTGAAACTAACACAATCGAAGGTACGCTCCGAGGCGTACGCTGCAAAAACGGTTCAAGATACCCCAAAAATATGTATAAAATAATGATTCCTTTTAAAATGAAACTAAGTAATAGGAACGAAGATACAGCAAACGGGGAAAATTATAAAATTCGCAGCGTATGCGGGGAAGTATAAAATTCCCCGCATACGCTGCGAAAACGGTTTAAAATATGTATGCAAAAATGATTCCTCTTTAAATGATCTAAAAGTAAGTCCGCGACAGTATATGTCAATCTTTTAATATTAACTTGCAAAAACGACGCAAGGGGACGCGACCAATGTCGTGGCTAACAGCTTAAGTTTATAAAGATGGAAGGGTTTGCAAAAACGAATTTAGATACCCAAAATATATATTCTTAGCGGATGAAGTTGCTGAAACAGCTAGTAATAAATAAGTAGTGTGGAGAAAATGATATGAAAAATACTTTGACAACGTACTTCTGAATGTATTTTTTTTCTATCATTTAACATTATATTCAACATACGAAAATATTCTTATTATTCAATTCAGTCAAGCTCTATGATAAATCTTCCAGCTTGGCAGTTCATCAAAAAAATCAAGTTTTGAGTATCTTTTCAGGTCGACGAAGATATGATGCACAAAGTTCTAGGTTACATAGAAAAGGGGAAAGTCGAAGGAGCTAAGCTTGTAGCGGGAGGAAAAAGAGTGGGTACTTCCGGATTTTACATCGAACCTACTGTCTTCGCGGATGTTAAGGACGATATGACGATTGCCAAAGAAGAGGTAAGAATGAGATCTTTTCATTTACACTTAAATGATGTGCCATATTGTTGATTATTGTTCATTTGTATACCAAAAGACAGAAATTAGCTTTCTAATCTGTTAAGAACATTACCGAAAAATAAAAATGAAAATAATACTGTCATCTTGAAAAATATACAATACAAACTTTTGCTTTGTTATTACATTATAACTGTATTCGTGTTTTGTTAATTGCACTTTTAGCAGAACTTAGCATGAATTGACGGGAAAAATCTTATAATATTAATTAAAATATGAAACTCACGCGCGCTCGTTCCGGACTTCAAGTGACAAGGGCGAATAATTTTTGACAGCTGCAGATTAAATGTCATAAGCATAGACTATATGAACAATAACTGTGAGGGTAATTGCAGATTTTCGGTCCGGTACAAAACATTTTGAAGTTCGAAACATTGGAGGAAGTGATCGACCGCGCAAACGCAACCAATTACGGTTTAGCTGCTGGTATTTTTACCACAAACGTCAACACGGCATTGCAGTACAGCAAGCACGTGGAAGCAGGCACAGTCTGGTGTGTATTTGGTCATATTTATATTTAAAATAAATCACTTTAACGGTTTAAAACGCGATATATATTAGTTAAACTTATTTTAATTATTTTTAACTACGGCCCGACGTTTCGGATGTTTTGCAGCATCAAGGTAACGGGGAGACTAAAGTTGGAGGATGTCTCTGACGTCAAAGTAAAAAAAACTGCTACGCTAACGCCATCTGTTCCGTTGAAGTTGGTATTTGGCGAAACTGGTCGGTTCAAATAGTTAAAGTGTTTTGTTTAAACTACTCGCGTTCATATTTATATTCAGAAATATGTATATTGAGTTTTGGGAGACAGCGAAAACAATAAGAAATTTGTATTGACCTTTGGCGAGTAAACGACTAACTATTATTTTTTCTAAAACAATTAAATAGCTGATATTCAAAATGCCAGTGACGACTTGTTTCTCTTGCTTGTCAAAGCCATACTGGCACATCGTCGACCACTTGGAGTCGAGTATTCGCCGAGAAACAAACAGATTCTAGAATTAAACGCTTTGAAGAGTGTAAATTCGTTATATCTCTTTTTGCAAAATTCATGTAAGTACTAAACGATCTGTATGTATTTTTACTAGAAAAATATATCGCGTTTTGAATTTGTTGAAAAACTGCAGTCGTGTAAGCTATAACTTTAGTTTGATTTTATAAACCTAATTAAAAAAAATACAAAATTTCTTTGTTTTACACATTCGCAAAACAGTACAGATATAATTGAGGTAATTCTCTAAATAAACTCTTTATCTTCATTAACATCGTGCCTCTTTGTTTAGGACTTATTAAGAAAGTTGATTTAAAGTTTACTGACCCCTGCCCCGTCCCTGGCAGGTCTTGCTAACTTAATGGCTGTAATATAAATATTAAAATGATTAACGAACATTATATCGTATATACTATATCTTCAATTATGTCGTATTTATAGGGTTAACACGTACCTGGCAATGGGTCCCCAAGCACCATTTGGTGGCTTTAAGGACTCCGGTGTCGGCCGTGAAACGTAAGTACCAATTGTTAGTAATTAAGTAAGATAAAGAAGAATTATTTGGAACCGCTGTTGAAGGAAACTTGCGGTGATAGTCGCCTTGTCAATAACGTCCATCTCTTTCACGGGATGATCAACAGTTTCTTTAGTAGATTTGGGGTTCTGTATAATCTATTCTTATATAAAAGCTGAAGAGTTGTTTGTTCATCTGTTTTAACGCTTTCATCTCAGAAGCTACCGGCGGGAATTAAAAAAAATATTTTCAGTGTTAGAAGTTAGTAGATTGGTACATTTATCACGGATCATTTTCTATTTTCCCGTTTTTTCCACATTTCCCATTGTTCCTTCTCTCCTATTAGTCAGTGTACGTTTTATAACCTACAGCCTTCCTCGATAAGTGCTCTAACCAACGAACTATTCAATTCCAGTAGTAGTTCCTGAGATTAGCGCATTCATACAAACAAACTCTTCAACTTTATAGATTAGTATAGATAGCGTCCGAAAATTGTTAGAAACCTACCTGCATACTACGCCGAATCCCTAAAAAAACGTATTCAATAAAACCTGTAGTCAAAGTATTTATTGAACATAGCTATACTACTTTAATATTCAGAAATTAATCGTAGGCTTTTATTAAAATACGTGAGCGGACTTGATTTCGCTGGCCTTCTTCCGCTGTATATTTACAAAAAAAAATTCGTTGCCTGGTTTATTTTCCTTTCCCCTATTTATAATTCAATTTATTTTTCAGAGGATCACATTGCTTGGACGAGTATCTGGAGGTGAAGACAGTTACCGTGTCTCTTCCTAAGAAATTCTAATGATTTAATAGCTTATAGTGTACTTAATGTCAATAAACAATTTATGTCAAAAGCGAGTTTCCTTGTAAGAGTCAAATTGAATGTTGTCATCTCGAAAACTTATTGGATTTGTAGAATTCTTTGGAGATCCGACAAGAAACCTTAATTTTAATTTGCCTAATGAATCTGTTGACTACCTCTTCTCGTTCAAAATATGTTTTGACTTTACATAATGCCAAGCAAGGTACGACATTAAAAAATTGTAAATAGCTTATCTAACTACAAGCTAGTGAAAAGTCCTAACCTAGATATAAATATATGGTTTGCTAAACCCTATTTGGGTATTTTGTATTACATATTATATTGACAATATTAAGAATTCCTATATTATAATATGATATATTTTGTTATCTTTTTTCAACACGGGCCGGACTTGAACGGACATCCACGGCGTTCCGCGTTGCTATAACCAATTGAGCTACCGAGTCAAACTCAATTTATAACCGATTTTTAATTTAATTAAAATTTAAATTAATTATAATTGTTTTAATAAGTTATGATTGAAAATGTTGCGTGGAATAAAGGTATGTCTATTCTATTCTAAAAGAGCTCTACAAGTGATCTTAATTAAATGTTATAGATCTGTATTTCATCTGTAACCCCAAAATTGGTCTAAAAATGTGGAGCAATTTTTAGACCAATTTTGGTCTTTGGAATCAAGTAATAAAAAACAAGTTGTCAGCCGCTAGAACAATAAGAAAGATTTATTCGTATTTTTTATGTTGGTCGGGAATAATGTAATGTTTGGACAAAGTAACGCTGTTTTAGCTAAAGTGGATTTTGATGTTGAATGTCGACATCAAATTCAAACTGCTCTTCCTCAAACCTACATAAATCAACGTCTCTATGAGTTCGGGCCCGATCCACCTTCTGTCCGATAGTGATGGATAGATGGACATCGGAAAATAAAATAATACATATTACGATCGTAATCGTATCATAAAGACCAAATTAAGTTAATCTTAAAAAAGAACAAGGGAAAGTTAAAAGAATATATTTAAAACTTACACAATTTAAACTAACAGGAAGATATTCATTCTTTCTTTAAGAATATAAATGTTATTTTGCTCTTTTGAACACTCTGTAGAAACATGACCAACAGATAGACAAACGAACAAAAAATTGACGAATCTAAATATTTTTTTTAATTTTAAAGAGAATAAAGTATATTTTATTTTAAAAGAATACCTACTGTCTATAGTTTACGTGAGTAGAACATTTTAACGGGTTAAAACGCGATATATATTACTTAAAATTATTTCTAAATTATTTCGCTTACTTAGTAATAATTCGTCTACTTTTGACCACCGCTGCTGTAAAGCATTGAAAACGTCGGGCCGTAGTTTAAATAAGTTTAACTAATACCTATATCGCGTTTTAAACGGTTAAAGTGTTTTATTTAAATGTAAAAACGCTATTAATTATTAACTATTTCTTCGTCACAGTTTATTTTATAAAACAAGGTAGTGGAACAATGTTAGAGTTACTAAAAGAATACAATATTACAGAAAACACACTGTACTTTGGTCATACTCAATACAAATATTAGTCACCCAAGTTATCAGATTCACATAAATGTTATAAATCGGAGCATTATTTTGAGAGGTTTATTCCTATACAAATTCTACCCACGTATACATGACGAAGGAGATATTATAATAGACATCGCTAAAGTTTGAATAGTTAACGTAAGTTCCAATTCAATTAAATACAGAAATCGTCTACAATTGAATTAAATCAAGATTTCAAATGGTTTTATCCTCGGGCTCGTTGGTACAGATAGGCCATGGCTAGCAACTGTCCAGCTAATAATCTCTGAATCGTAAGTTCGATCTCCATCACGTCCAACATCTTTGTAATTTATTTACATGTCTAAAAATTTGGATATTAAATGGATTTAGGTATTAAAAAACACAAAAACCCGCGCAATTGAGGCATTTTGGTTTCAGTCTGGGGATTTCTGAATATTAACTTTAAACATTAAATATTACCTTCCATTACATGAAACCCATGGTTGTCAGTCCGCTTCTATCTTAAAAAAATTAAAATAATTAACTTTAAGTGTATATATAGTTGGTTTATTATATTATTTGATATACTTTGTACAAGGTCGACACTAGCACCTTTGTACATAATATATAGGTGTACTGGGTAAAGTTATATTTGTTACTAGCTGTGTCCGTGACTTCGTCCGCTTGGTATAGTGACTTGGGGTAGACTTTTTAATTATTTAGGCTTTTTATTAATTAGGTTGTAAGTGCTACTTTACCGTATCACTCTCACCTCACAGCACTCCTACTCTAACCCCCACTCTCATTCTTACACTCACTCGCACTCCCATTCCCACTCCTATTCCCAAAAAGCCAAAGATGAAAGTGTCATTGATTTAGTTTCAAAAACCACGAATTTCCATACGAACTTTCATCCCCTTTTTCAACCCCTATCAACCCATTTTGGCAGTAAAAAGTAGCCTATGTCCTATCTCAGGCTCTAAAATGTATGTGTACCAATTTCATTTAAATCAGTTCAGTAGTTTCGGAGTTAAAGCTGGACAGACAGACAGAGTTACTTTTGCATTTATAATATAAGTATAGATATAGATTGTCAAGGAAAACGTGTTATTTACATTCTTCCAATAGATAAACCTCTATATCTTTTAAATGAACTAGAGAATAGATTTTCATTTCATCTTTCCTTGAACATAAAAGTGATCCTTGTTTTAAACGAAAGGGAGCATGCGCAGTAGATTTTATGTCGTTTTCGCGGTTTTGACTCTGTTTCTGACCTTGTATTGTCGGGAACGTTCGTCCTTTGCTCGTAATGAACTTTCGGAGTTCGTAGGGAAGTTTGTGATGCAGTGAATAAACGTTGTGTGGAACTTTATTTAATAAATAATCGCGTTGTTTGTATTACATTTTATATACGAGTGGGATATGTGATATACAATGGACTGATATGACGTGTAAGTATTTTAATTACTTATCTTAATATTATTTTTTTAAACAACCTGTTGACTCCTGTTGTATGATACAGTTAACCATTACAGTACCCATAACATGACTGACATTACATATGCCTCTTAGCTATTTGGGTGTAAAGTAAGAGAATATCACTAGAAAAATATAGCATATACATTTCCTATATGTTTTATTTTGTCCTATATGGTTTGTTGTTGTGTTGTTGTTGTAAAAAATATAGATCCAATAATAATACTGTCTATAGTTTACGCGAGTAGTACTCGTGCAGGGGTAGCAGGGGTCTTCCCGTGACCACGGCTGCTGCAAAGCATCCGAAACGTCGGGCCGAAGTTAAAAATCATTTTCAAATAAGTTTAACTAATATGTCGCGTTTTAAACCGTTAAAGTGTTTTATTTAAATGTGTACTACTCGCGTAAACCATAGACAGTATTTAATCCTCATACTTGTCTGTCTGTCTTCCTTGATCATAAAAACTAAACAGTAAGACTTGAACAGACACAAATTCCAGTCGCAAAACACACTACATACTTAGTCTGGCCATAAATACTGTTACAATAAAAAAAGACAAAATATAATATTTAAATTTGGAATCTGTCATTTTTATATTATTGTTCAATGAGTTATCTCGTTTTGGCGCTAACAAATTTTACAATATGTTTTGACATTAAAAAGGAGTGCATTGATTAAAAGAATAGTATAGTAAAGTAATAGTATTAGTAGATATGGAGCCAAATGCAATTTTTAAAACTCTCCATACGCTCGGTATAAATAAATGTTTGTGTACCGGACTATCAATAGGTACATTGAGGCCTCCTCTGTTTGTGACAGAAAATAATCTGGCCTTTCACGTAGTGTTCGTACGGAAAAGGGGGTTAAAGCAGTAAGGGAGAAAATTCGTAGAAACCTTATCCGAAAGCAAAAGATTTTAATCCAGGAGATGAAGATAGCATCTAGAACCATGTCGCGTATTTTAAAAGATGACTTAGGACTTGCAGCCTATAAGAGACGTACTGGTAACCTATAAACCTCTAATTTAAAAAATAATAGTATGGTACAATCCAAGAAACTACTTAAGCAGTACGCAAATGACGGTCAGGAATTTTTTTCTTTGCAGATGATTAAATCTTAAAGCGCTAAGGAAGCATCTCAATTAGTAGACAGAGTTTAACGTAGGCATTATCCATGAATGGTCCTGCCAGCTTGGCTAAGTCTTGCACTCAGCGCCGGGATAAAGCCCGCGCTATGCAGTCGTGGTTTGAAACGAAGGTTTCGGGTTTTATTAAAGCTGAAGATCTGGATCATGATAAATGGTCAGTTTTAGAGAGCTAAAAACCATCATAATTTGGAGTCACTAAAACAATCCGTACGATTGGCAGTTTAAAATTTTTCCATGATAAGAGTGCGTGCTGCTATTGATAATTGGCCTCAACGTTTAAGGGACTGTATTGCCGCCAATTGAAATTATTTTGAATAAGTTTTACATATTTAACTTGCTATATATTTGAGTTTTAAACTAAAATGTTATATGCAATAGAAAAAAAAATGTTTTCCTTTGTTACAGTATTTATGGCAATAGTAGGTTTACGTCACACAACGGTTATACAAATAAGGCACGTTAGATATTAAGTGTACCAAGTAACCTATCGTAAACATTGGTACAAACGTGATTCCTATGAAAAGGGCAATAGTTTGGGGCTGCAGAATCTCTAAACTCTGTAACAAACAGATCACAATCGCAGTCAATCTATATTGTAAGTGCTCCTTTGCCGCAACATTCTCACCTCACATCACTCCTACTCGAACTTCCACTCTCACTCCCACTCCCACTCCCACTCCCACTCCTATTCTCAAAAAGCCAAAGAAGAAAGTTTCAATGTTCTATCTTCAAAAGCCACGAATTTCCATACAAATTTTCATCCCCCCCTTTAACCCCTTACAACCCCCTTTTCGCAATAAAAAGTAACAAGCAGACAAAAAAGAGT